ACACCGAATGGTTTAGCTCAGAGAGTCAAGACAGATCCGGATCTATCTAGACGGGCAAGGTCCGAGTTTGTCAAGATGGATGCATCTTCCGTACTGTTTCCCCGTCTCGATCTTGATTACTTGAGAACCATTACGTGTGGAACGTATCAGATATCTCTGGCTCCTGGTTACATCGCCGAACATTTAAGTGATGACGGAGACTATGAGGTGTGGCTTTACCAGCACTCCCCAGACCTTCTCCGATGTCAAATACATTCTCGACACAAAAGCCAAACGAAATATAACGTTTGGATACGGTTCACCGTTTCACCCGATGTTGAGGCCCCAATAAAGGACTACTACTGCCAGTGCCCAGTTGGAGAGAGAACGATGGGAATGTGTGCGCACATCTCCAGTATCTTGTACTACCTTGGGTATTACAGGACGCTGGAAAACCCTCGACCATTACAACCACAGGTAAAGAAATTCCGACAAAACTTGAAATAGTTTTCCATGCGGCAACGGAGTGCATATGTCGAAAGTATGTTTGGGGCTCGATATGAAAGATCCCCGTTACCATGTGACTAACCAAACTTATAAATATAGGTATTATACAATCGCCCGTAGCTATGAACACTCCCGTAAATGCGAAAACCAACCAAAATCATAAGGAACACGTTTTGTTTGTTGTTCTGTCTATTTGTCAGCCAATGTCTTCAACCACGGGGACTTGTGAAGTAGCCATCTTGGATTTTTTTTATGAAAAAGTGTTTCTCTCACTTTTTTTCATATCTGTGTACATATTCTCAACATACCGAGCAAATACTCTCGTTTTTTTGTTAATTATCTAAAGAAAGTCGAAAATCGGCAATTCAACCATAGGCTAATTCAACCCAACATTTGAAAATGTTCCACCACTTACATTTTGATGATTTTTCCTCTCATCAATAGCATATTACGTACTGTTTAATAGGATAAAAATTGGTTTGCATCCAACGCCCATAAAAGGGTGTATTCTCTAAAAAACACAGTTTTTGTGTCTAAAATGTTATCATCGAAAATGGCATTTTTGAGATTGTTTCTTCCATAAAACAGCCAAATGGCGCGATGGAAACATGATTTTTTGTCACAATCATGCCATGAATGTATTCTTTACGGTGACCATCATTTGATTAGATTTTCATTAATATTTTACATAACATGCACATTTTATCAACACTTAGACAGCTTCTGAAAGGTACAACTTTGAGGAGCCATAAAAAACAAACCAAGTGACCTAAATCTTTATACTTTATAGATTTGTGACCACAACGGCATGGGCAATGCACCACCAACAGGAAATTTGAATCAGAGAAGGGGCCGTTTTGGAAACCGGCCCTTTAGAACATGGCGTTTCAAGAAAGAAATCTGGTTCAAAAAATATTTTGACAAGTTGTCTGATCGCAATCATGATCTTTTTAGGAAATATATTTCTAAGTGATATATGAACATTGATATTTTTAAGTTATGTTTTCATTAATATGTTTTGTAACCCGATTTTTACTGTAACTTTTATTGTCACAGTTATCACTTTTGAGTAATGGCATAATTCATAATACACACACTTTACTATTTTCTAAATTTGAAAATAACCAGTTCTTCTCTAAGTTTTTAATGCATACATTGTAAATTAAGGGTTTTCCGCGCGTGCACTTCTGTTTCAAGAGTAGTTCAGGCAATTTGGGATTCCAACCATTGACCTTTGACATCACCTATGTGTCCTGGAATGACGAAGCAGCCATATGATGAAGTGTAATTCATTTCTGCCGTTCTGTATCTATAACCCAATCTTAAAGGTGCACTCACCTCTGTGTGTGTGTGTTACATTAATCTTTTCAGCAAAACTTTCGCCGCAGTTTATTTTTCGCCTCTTTCCCCTTTCGATCTGAGGGCGAATTTCACATAACGGCGAAAGTAAAAAAAAAATACGTATACGACGGCACATGTTTTGTCACTTTCGTCTACACTGAGCTTAACATAGGAACGGTTTGTGATGCATTTGGGGTCCCGTGTGTGTAATGCAACCTTATGAATCATAATAAAGGATTGACAATTTGTTTTATCTTTTAGTTATCTAATATTTCACAAACACATCATTTAGTTAGAAGTTATTACATGAATGAAAAGTGTTCGTCAGAGAGGCAGTAACGAGGAGTTTTTTTAATTGATTTTGAGCTGACTCTGATTGGCTGAAACAACATCATGTGACCACCTGTAAAAGAAGTTATAAACCTGAGTGGTTTGCAGGTGTTCAAAAAAGTTGGTAGAACAAGTGTTGCTGACCTGCTATAAATAGATTCTGGAACAGGTATTCAAAAACGTTGGTAGAAAAAGTGTTATTGACCTGCTATAAACAGATTCTGGAATTTTTGTGAAGTCATTTAGATGCTTGACTAACACCCCATGGGAAACAAACACAGTAATGATCAAGATTAACACTGAAGTAACTTGGATGCTGCTAACTGTGCCAGTAAAATAAAGGATTGATTCAGTAATTTGTTCAACGATTATTGCAGATATTTAAATGATTATTGCAGATATTTAATTCAAAAATGTTATTTTTCTGATATTTTTGTTTAGTTGATTTTAAAATTTGTGACTAATACAATGGAGAAAAAAAGGTAAAACTAAATTCTTTTACATTTTTTCCTTCAATTTTGAAAACATTAATTGAAATAATAAAATCTATTGTAGCATTATGATTTCGGCCGATACATGGTTTTATCGACCTAGGTATGCAATGTTGACCTCGGACTGCGTCCTCGGTTAATATTCCTAACCTAGGTTGATAAAACCATGTATCGTCCTCATCACCATGATATAATTGCATATTTTCCACTGATGTAGGCCAAATTTAACACTGGGCTTATAAGGACTCTGTCGGTGAAGGGCGAAAGTTTTCCGGTATAGAGTACTTAACTCTAGCATAATTGCGTTACCATCAAAATGGGTCATTGGTGATATGTTAATATGGCAATATATGCATAGATGGATCGTAAACTGAAACAATTTACACAACGTGTTATTATTACATAGGTCATACACAATTGTAGTTTATATGGATAATTTTATTACCTTATAAATAAAATTAAGATTGATATTTTCGTTCTTAGAAAATTAAAAAATTAAATGTTTACATACAAAATTATTTGGCATTCGGTTATTTTTTTCTGTATTGCAATTTATCTGGGTGGTCGGGTGGTGCAGTGGATAGCGCACTTGCCTTTCACCGAGGCGGCCGGGGTTCGCTTCCCCGATCGGACGTGAAAAGGTATGGGGTCACCTGCCCGAACACGTGGGTTTTCTCCGGGTACTCCGGTTTCCTCCTACACTAAGACCTCCATGCGCTTACATCCGGGACAACAAGAGTGATTAATATAAGTTGAAATAACTTGTTTCATAATTGTTGTAAAATAAATAAAGTTTATATATTAATATATCTATCTGACAACTCTTTTATTATTAGAATACAGAACTGTCACATTTTTATTTGATTAAAACTTTATTAAACATTATTTTAAACATTAGAGCTGATTGGATAATATTGCCTTTATCTAAACAATGCTCTCTTTCTTGATTTAAGAACATTTAACTTTGCCAATACCTGCACCACTACACCTCTCACCATTGATATAAATATATTGTTGTTATCAGTTTTGGAACACGTTATTCAAGAAAATGTCAAAAAAAGACTAAAAAAAATCAGCAGTCTATTGTTCATTCAAATAGGCCAAACAGTGGATATTTACTGGCTGTTATTTTTAGCTGAATGAACACAGAACACAAAAAAAACATTAATCGTGTGTGGTTCGGAATTATAAATAATCATAATTCGAGCGGTGCAGGAAACGCATGCATTTCCAAATCACCTGTGTATTGTGTAGGGGTTTACCGTAGCTTTCTATTGTTTTCGAATATCTTTTTCTTGATATTGACCTGCGGTATCGATATTGACCTCGCGTGTTGTCCTTGTTCACTGAGGCTGTGGTAAATCATTTCCTTGTGTTTGCTGATTTTATATGTTTTATTCTATGTGTATTGAAGATGTTGAATACTCTGTCCTTGTGTATCGACACTTTTTTAAGTTTTGTTCTTGTGTAACGACGTTGATGTATATTCAGTCCAAGGCATTAACGTCGTTGCATATTTTGTCCTTGTGTATTGACGCTGTAGTACATTTGTTCCAATATTACTTATTAAAGCAAATAAAAGGTATAACGTACTTTTTCTTCCTGTTTGTCCCCTTCACCGATAAGATATATTATATTTTGAAGCATTTTTTATTCTGTAGAAAGACTGCATGTTTCAAAAATTGGAATTGTGTGGTATGTTCGCTTCATGTAACTTAACGCACTTAATTCTTTTAAAATTTATTTCAACATTTTTTGAAAAAAATATTCAAACTATCATGTCAATTTAGCAAATTTTAATAAATAAAAAATATAGATATATATCTTAAATTTTCTTGTAAATGTCCACTTCCTAAACATGTAGACCTGTATAACCTAATTGTGCTAAAGACTTATCATATCATTTTAGATACAAGCTGAAATAGCAATCAGCTGTGTATGGGTTCACCGAAGAGCTTGTAATGAAACCTAAATAGTTCAATTAATATATATTGTAATATTGCAACGTCTGGCGATATAACGAAAACTAACGTAAAGTATTTTCGTCCTGACTAGAATCTTCTATAATATAAAATCGTACATGTATATGTCATTTAAGATTTAGTCCATAACAGGCTATAGGAAAAGCGCAATGCTATCGATCTTAAAGTGTTGCTGCGAGTGTATACTAATGTGACGCCTGATAGATATGAATAAATAAATATACAACATTTGGTTTAGCGCCCTATCTAGCTAACATAAGCCACTCTAAAGCGCTTTACAGTACATAGATATACAATTTTATACAGTCAATACAATAAACATATATATATTAATCAATACAATATTGAGGAATTCGCAGGAGCTGCCCTATCAGGCGCTAACTACTAGTCCTATGCCATCTGGCGAATATCTTCCTATGTATGTATGCCTGTGTGTGTGCTGGAGATGTATTGTGTTCATATTTATGCAGCGATTTAGCCTGATGACAACCGCGAACTGTCGTGTGGAGATAACATTTCAACAGCTGATTCTGCTGCAGCTTCATCTGTATTCTGAAAGCAAACATACAGGACATACTCAAAACACTCGCAAAATTGATCTAATTCATCCTAAATGAAAATTGCTTCTGATCATCAGTACACATTCTGACTTGCATAGCATGTACATGCTACACGGGCATGTATTGCATATATATTTGATATATTAGGTTTGCCGTCTTCAACATGAACCCGGTTGATTCGTTCATAGTGTATCCTACTGTAAAATGTTATTTTGATGTGAAAGGTATGTTTAAATGATTGTTTAAATCAAACAATATATAAACCGAAAGCTGTTTAATATAACATAATGTTTAGAATCTAAACAATCTTCTTTACAAAATGCGTACATCAGACCAGGCTGTTTTGAATAATAATTGATCATTCAAATGTGTATGCCATCTGTTTTATAGTCATAAATAATTACAAATATGAAAATGAATGTATGGCATCTTGTGTGGTACAGAACGAACACTAAAGATTTCGATGACACAGATATATTACAGTTCAGCTTCAGTGTATAATCAAATACTTACTTTAACAGTCGGGGGATACTTGACACCGCATCGGAACTTTCTTCTGAATAGCTCAGGCATACAGCAACACAGATAATCACATATTGGAACGACCAATGAAGGGTCGACAGGCGTCCGAGCTAAAACCGGAAAAAGAAATTACATTTATTCTGGTTAAATAATATACACAAGGTTTGTTAAAAAACAGAAACATTAAGTGAATTATTTGAAATAAAATAAATGGAAAAAAATCAAGTGACATGTAATAAATTTTGGACTTCGAACAATTATAAAACCTGGAGATACTAAAATTGTAACGTTTAATATGCATAAACAGGTGATATCATGTTATCGTTTGTTTCTGACCAAATACATATAGTTACTCTACCTTGTAGACGGCTGACGAGAGATCCGACAATTAGAACCAGGACAATACCTAGCGGCGTTAACCATTTATAGGACAGAGAGTACAGTGTATCTAGTCCGTCTCTGTTAATACACAAAAGATGCCTTTTACATGTACGTTGATACGTTACATTTAATATATTGATTATATCATTTTCTGCTTTGTTTGTTAGTACGTTTTCTGATCAAAAGCAAGGATAGTAGGTACAATAAAACCTTTCTTGTAAATGTATAAAGATGTTTCGTACAGTACATTTAGGCCTTCTCGTAACGCAACGGCAATACATCTGGACCTTTGCAAATTGGAAAATGTATTGACTGCAATATATCTAGACCGTGTCTTATACCTGTAACCCATATATAACAAACTACGTACAAAACATCTGGACCTTGTCTGCTAATACATAAAAGTATTGAGTTTAGTACATATAGGCCTTGTCTTTAAATATGTTTATTTCTTTTTAGTTAGGTCTAGATATATCAAGGATAATGTACAAAGGAATTGGGAAGAAAGAAATACAGGTAAATTTGAAAATGTTGGCAACAAACGAGGGGACATACACAAAAGGTTTTGTCAAATGTTCAAGTAAACTTTAAAAGTTTACTTCAGCTACCTGTAGCCATTACATTTGGGTTTTTTTTCACCTTTTCTATTTATAGTAAACTTACGGCTCGGAAATGATTGTCGTTGGAGTCACATCAGTTTTATAGTACGATTCGTTCCACATTGTTCCTGCAGACAATTGTCCGTATAAAGTTGCATTTATAATCCCCGATATATTTAGCGGTGGACATTTTTCCGTCGAAGCCGGTTCTAATTTTGCAGTTACACGCACTCCTGAGGAAATCAATTTCCCGAACGATATCCATCCTACAAAGAGGACGCTTACAAAGCCGCCGACTAATCCACCCTGTGAAAACATCCAATATATGTCGGACACAAACATCTTCCATTGTTAGTAACAGCATTCTTTGTTATTGAGATATTGAAAATGATCAGATTCAGAAAAAAAGTAGCCACAAAGGAAGAAGCCAAATGTATGTTTCCTTTTATAAAATGTCGAAGGTATTGTGCTATTTCTAGTTCTACCTATCACATAGTCTTATTTTTGTGCAATATAATTATACATTCTAGAATGACATTTGAATTTTATGTACGATATGCATTCTAGATTTTACATATAAATGTACAATCTATAGTAATCCTTAAATTTAACTAACAGTACATAATACACAGACAAAAGTCGAACTAACAAAAACAGAGTAGAATTAAGTTATGATTATATGAAATATACAGACGATTGTCAATATAAATATATTGTACAGAATAGTCATTTTGATATATCATATACAGACTTAGATAAAAGTCATCTATAACACAAAGACTTAAGACAAACCTATCTACACACAATAGTTTAACATTAACAATCTAAAGACAACATTATAACATAAACAATATACAGACAATGGATAAACAGTTGACAAATACAGACACTAGTTTACCAATACAATATACAGACATCAGTATAACATAAACACTATACAGACAATATCTAAACAACTGCAATATACAGACAATTGTAAAACATAAACACTATACAGACAATATCTAAACAACTACAACATACAGACATCGGTATAACATAAACACTATACAGACAATATCTAAACAACTACAATATACAGACATCAGTATTACATAAACAATAAACAGACAATATCTAAACAACTACAATATACAGACATCAGTATAACATAAACACTATACAGACAATATCTAAACAACTACAATATACAGACAATAGTAAAACATAAACACTATACAGACAATATCTAAACAACTACAATATACAGACAACGGTACAACATAAGCCATATACAGACAAAAGCTAAACAAATATAATATACAGACAATACCTAAGTACATACAATATACAGACAACAGTTAAAACACATACAATATACAGATAATAGTAGAACAACTGAAATATATAGACAATAGTTAAAACACATACAATATACAAACAACAGTATAACATCAGCAATAAACAGACAATAGTTAAAAAATATAATATACAGACAATACTTAAATACATACAATATACAGACAACAGTTAAAACATATACAATATACAGATAATAGTAGAACAACTGAAATATATAGACATGTAGGTATAGCATGTGCTATTCCGACTTACCCGTGCATTGGCTCTCGGTACGAACCATCCAAGGATAAACAGTCCTCCAACAGCACCGTCAAAACAAGACCCAGTTATGTCAAGTATCTGTGAAAAAGGATGTTTGATGTAAACAACAATAACATGGACGACTTATATTTAACACAGTATACGTTCGCTAACACCACATTAAAGTATATGTTTAAATATATAAAGTTTTTTAATTTATTTTGACAGCATGCAAGGCAAAGTAAACACTGGAATGTTACAAAAGTGTGAAAGGGACGGAAAAAGTAAATATTATAGGTTAAAAAAGTATCTTATACTTTGAGATCAGGTAAAACAAGAGAACACTTGGATTTAAATATACTCAAATCCTAAACGACAGAAACAAATAATGTTTCCCTTGTTAACTAACAGCCTGATGGAGTGGACTTTACAACGTATTGACATACAATGTAATTACTCATAATATCACATATAGTTTATATGCTATACATCATTTCTCAAAGGAAACCAACAATATTTCCCAATTAATAAAGCTTTCAGTTACCGAAAATAAATCTTAAAATACAAGCAAAATGAAGCAAAACATATGTGCATTTAACATAATTTTGAATCACAATACAGTTACTAGTATACGTACTTACATTCCAAGATTGTTGACCAGCCATATATTTAACACTGTAACTGATAAGTCGGAAGACTTAAAGGAATTATAAACTTGTAAACTTGTAAACATTTAAAATTTAAATTGATTCAATTGCATTATTTACATACAAAACAATAGCCCATACCCGTGAAATTGGTCCATCAATGCCGGAAATGCCAATGGCAATACAGACAGAGATCCCTCCGAAAAATAACACTGAAAGTACGGAAATGGAACAAATTATCTTCAAATTTCTCTTACATATGCCGCTCACTTCCGTTACATCACCAAATCATGTGTTTTAGAATAAAAAAGCCCATGATAAAAATTTGAAATGTTTGAAAGAAATGTAAATAAGAACCCCTATTTATTTTATTATTCACAAATAGAATAATCGTTTTGCTCTGGAGGAGTAAACTGCTTTTGGTAAAGTCAGTTTATCAAATGTATTTACCTTTATTTTAAAGCAACCAACTCATAGACGGAATGGAAAAGGGTGTTATTTGCGTCTTTGATCAAATCGGAAATAGTCACCTGATAATTGGGCGATTCGTATAGCCCGTTTGTCCGACATAGGTTTAGTGTGCGGTTTGATGATATCCTCCCAAAACACAGCCGACATTGCACTTAACACAGACGACATGGTACTGCAATACAAAAAAACAGATGTCAGTAGTAGTACTGCAATACAAAAAAACAGATGTCACCGTCACTCATCAATAGCGCATTTTCCGAATTCAACCGCATGTACACCACTATAACGCACAAAGAGTAAAGCCAACTTTTAAATGATTCAAAGCTGAGTTAAACGAAATGAAATACGAAATGGGGTTCATTTTCTATTTCACGGACGTGTAATTGTATAGACTTAGATTACCAATATTATCCTCGTGCGTAGATCATAAGTGTTAACTTCTCAAATTCACTTCAGATACATGTATTGTAATAACGAGGTTAATCGTGTTGCATTATTAGCAGGTATTATAAGTGAGTATTTTTGTTTATCAATCGTATTGACAAATTAATTACGCTGGGATAAAATGTAAGGTCAAAGCTATTTAAAAAACATCCCAGTTAAGAAACCACTCAAAAATATCCAATTGTAGTCATTTTCAATATGAGCGAAGCTGTATAAAAAGACAAACTGCAATTGCAGACCACTACTTAATATATGTCATAAGTAACTGAAAACATTTTAAACTGTAATTATGATTTTAACTCATATTACCTTAGTGAAGCGCTAAAAAGCGCTGCCAAGAAAAGTCCAGGAAGACACGGTGTATCCAGAAATATGTCTCGTACCATTTTTGCTATTAACTATAAAACAAAGCAAAAAACAATGAATATACAATACATTTATATTATGTGTGTTTTGCTATCTGAACGCCAATAGGAATTACAGTGTTAATATTTTTAAAAATATAAATCTAATGTATTAGGTATTTTTTTGCGTAACCAATACATAAAGAATGAACATAATGCGAAGACTTGTTTGAGAGCTTTGCTTACAAAAAGGAAGCATTCAACTCACACTGAACGAACGTTATCGAATTACGTGGTTATGCATCAGGTAATTGAATAAGTAGATGTCGTAATTTGTTTTGATGTTTTATTTGCTCATTTACTTGGTTTTGGTTTCGGACTTGATCGACCTCCAGTGGATCACATCCTTTTGAATGGTAGTATGCAAACATCACTGCTCCTTCTAAGACCGCAAGACCGGATATAAACAGTAGAAGAAAGGCCGCGATCATATACATCCTGAAAATAAATTATTGTCATAAAAAGGACTGTATTGTTTTGGTTGTTGTTACCCCCTTATTCAGTAAAAAATCCAAAAAATGATTTTTTTAATTTTCAACCCCTTTTGTTTTTAAATTGACATTTCCCCAATTCTTATTCTGGTTATTGTATTTGTATGATTTACATTGTTAATAAAGTTACATAAATAGATAAAATTTGAATTTTCAGTTTGTTGTATTAGTTTTTTTAATATTTTATTTCTTTTAAAATCTATAGTGCATATCCTGAACAAACTTGACATGTTGTCCTAAAAAAAAATCAAAGAACTACAGCTAGAGAGTGTATAAAGAAAATATAAAAACGAATGTTCGTTTAAAGGTCTTTAATGTTAATGTCACTAGGAGTCAAAAAAGACTTTTACCATACATCATCCTGTCATTTGCAATTGTAATAGTTTGTGCAATTAACAACAGGATTTGTATTGGGATAAAGGAATTTATTATTTACTTCCGAATAAAGTATGGAACTATTTCCTTCTGCTAGGAATTGTATAGAAAAAGCGTACAAGACATAATTATTTTACCGTTTGGCTGCTGATACAGTAGACGTTGCTTTGACCCTCTGATAAGTCGCTTGATTGAATTGCATTCTTAACCCATGAAACACACCGCCAATTGTAAGGCTCCAAAACGACTGACGTAAAGTCGGATCGGGATTAAAGCTGAAAGAAAGAAATATATACATATTTGAAATATATATATTTGTATAGCATTCCATTGGTTGTGCTTCATTTTATATAAACCTACAGTTATCAACCTAAAGCAAATGGTACAGCTACATTTTTCGTTTAAAAACAAACATATATATATAGTGCATGCTGCAGTATTGTTGCTGAACATGTGTGAAGATAAAAACTAAATATTTAGAAGTAAATGGAACTCCTGGTTTTCTCAATGATAACCTGTTTTACATGATATTGTGTTGACAGGAGTTTATCGTTAATCCATAGTATGATATTACTTCAAGATTCACTCTTGATAACATGGTTATATTTCTAGATAGACCATTTTCCTGAGTTACACGGGTGGAATGCAAACATTCACATTATCTGTAACCAAATCTGAACAATGTATCTCTTTGCCGTTCCTACAGGTTTATGATCCAGAGTGAAAGTGTTTTTTTTGTATGAGCAGTTACAAAGGTGACGGCACGTATTACAATACAATCATGCAGGTAATCGATGAATATATCACTTATTTGCTTACATTACTGGTGATCGAGAGAATTAGTATAATATACAGAGATTTTGAATTTCGTTTCTCATTTTTTATGCAAATTATGAAAATCTGTTCTTTCAGTGAAATAGGGACTTGTTTGGCATAACGAATTGACTCGTTTTCATAAATATCAAATACAATCGAATTGTCGTAAATTTCAAAATTTTAAATTTTTCTTAAACGTTTTCTTACAAATTCGTACGACATGTTTCCAAATTAACTATCTCCTCAGGTTCTTCTGATACATACGGGTGACTTACTCTAACATGTTAAATCTTCCTTTCTCCCTCACAATGCTCCAAGTGTTTGCCACTCCACCCGCTTCCATCGTGCCCTTAAAATAATTTCTATGACGATCTTAATGGAAGTTGTCATTTTTCACAATCCATTTTGGTAGATGCGAAACCTTTTTGTCAAACTGATATATCTGTACATTCCCTACGTTATAATTAAATATACAAGCTGAATATAAATATTTCAATCTTACAAAAAAGGAATTTGACAATTCAGAACGAGAAATTTCCTAAAACCATTGTGGGTTTTTAATGCGTAAATTAGTTTTAGTAATGATCATATAAAAACGAGTATAAATTTTGATAAGAAATAGAAAAAAAAATCTACATTAAAAATAGATAATTTTATGTTAAGTAATGCATTCCAAATAATGTATTACTTCAAGTTAATGAACAACAAAGTGTTTTCCAATAATCAAATCGCTTGGTTTTGAACTAAAATATTAATATCTGTCTTTGTTATCGGAATTAGCATTAGAAAATACCTTGATGAGAATGGCAAACATTCCACCAAACATGAGAAAGGCCTGAAATACATCTGTCCATATTACAGCTGTGAACCCTCCCTATAATAATAAAGCATGTTACAGAAATATTAGGTACAAATAAAAAGATAAATATATTAAAATAATGAGGCTGAAGGTTGTTCATCAAATACTCAAAAAAGATGATGTGGATTGATTGTCGTGTTTCTTAAACGCGATTCTGAGCATAACAACTAAATCCAATGACCACTCAAACAGAATTTATTTATACAAAAACATTACAAAACCGTCAAACTGATGCGGTATACCTACAATAATAGTATATACCACCACAACGATCGTCAGTGAGACAATAGAGATCCACATAGGAATACCAGCCACTGAAACAGATTAACACAAGCTATTACTGAAACATTTATAAGTTTTAAATTTGATAAACAGTACACTTTATAAAAAAAGTCCCTCGGATATGACCCACAGACGATGGTCTCTAATCGTTATAAAAAACACGGTTGTGTAAAGATGGCATTGAGATAAGGCTTTGGCCAATATAAACGACGCTTATTCAAAAATAATTTCGATTGATAAAACAAACTATTCACTATGAGTGTGTGTGTATGTTACTGTGAGCTGTACCTCCATCTGTGTTTGTCTGAACGAGACGGTATGTTGGTGTATTTGCCTTCTTGTCATAGCGTGGATCTAATGTCAATATTTAGAGAGCTACGACAATTAAATACCATGTGGAAGGCACCCAACACCGTATCCAAATTCATATTGACAACGGGAAAAACAACAAAGCAGATATAGAACTTAAAGTCAACATCAGATGACAAAAGCAGCAACATATAAAACAAAAGGTAATATAGCAACCCCCTATTCCTCAAACATTCTTATTTCAAGTCTTTATAAACTGCTGTATTAGTAATATCTGTTCACAATTGATTTGGTTAGCACTCTGTTTTTATTTTAGTATAATTTGAAAGGATTGTATTTATTTAGAAGTTGTTTAAATTTGGTTCTCATTTTCAGATTGTGACATTACTTGTATTCAATGTAAATGTACATTGCTGTTGTCATCAATGAAGCGGAAGACGCGTACTCTTCCGGAACACCTGGTCTATTCCATTTTGCATATTTGGTTCGGATCACAGTGATAGTTTGTTTTAATTTGTTCATTTTCTTGCTATGGTTTTATCGATTTTTGACTCCGAACTACGGTTTCGTTTACATTTAGGTATTCTTTTTTTCTTTGTTTCTGTATTGAGATAAAATGTGATCTACTCATTCTCCTGGATATTGCAGGTGGCATCAATCTGCCAGATGAGGTAAGGAACGCTTATTTACCCCTAGCATTTATTTCATCCTCACTATGTGTGAAAATGCAAATGTTTTATGCTGTCCTTTTGTCTTATGAGTGCCCTTTGTCATAATTTCCAGTTGACTTTACGTTCCAGTTTGTCCTACGTGTTAATAGTTTTTTCCCTAATTTACTTAATGCTGACCCCTTTATGGACAACGTTAAATTGTATATAAACAAGTTCTTACCTATTTCCAATGTAACAGCCGGCACAAATAATACGGTTCCAAGATAGTTCGCCTGCATTAAATAGAGTTTTACCAAAAAACTTCTTAATTGTTTTCTTTGATAAATACAAGCACATATAGTAAAAACAAATTACAATGTTACATTTTCTTGTGTTTAAATGGTAACTTTGAATGATTTGAAGAAGTAATTCAATAATATCAAATACACATAAAAATGCATGCCGTAAAATTCTAATGAAAATATCATTTATTGTTTTATGAGAAGGCTACACTAACAGTCAAATGTCCATTAAAATTTGGATTGGGAAAGAACTTACCCATGAAAGCAAACTAATTATTGTTGCAAACAGTCGGAGTCCATGAGAGTTGTATCGAAGCTCCATATACTACAATGACAAATGTAATTAAAATACATATACGTATGTCTGAAAAACCTTGTTAAAATAATAAGTTAATTGACGAAATATAAGTATTGTATATGTATTATAATGATAAGTTTTACAAAATACTTTACGAGGTCGGGGTGAACTCTTTTTCTTTAGTATTTCACACCCCTACGAGACTACTGACATCGGCGTGTTTACAGGTTTTTATATGCGTAAATGTCCTGCTTTATTTTCAGAACCATCAATCAATGAATCGACTAATCCATTAACGGCTAATTAATTGAACGCTTGGGTAAAGAAATAATTAATTTTACGTTTCTCGTTTAGACGCCTGAGTGATCACCCACTGTTCCCTATCACTGTAGATCTAGAGCCAGTTGATACTATGCGACCGTAAGCAGTTACACTTGAGTGATCACCAAACATAATCGGCTCCAAACATACCTGTGCTGTCGCAGACACAATCAGTATGGGAACACATTATACACAATGCGACGCGCATCTCCTATTAATATATCCAGTTTAAAATGAAATGTTACATAACGGTACTAAAAATGAAATTATACTTTTTTCACGTTCGTCTGACGTTTAACCTTATTTTATGTGTGTAGTAGGTCCTCGCTAGCTATGTCGGTACTCATTAATTGATATATAATCTCATTGTACAGATACATGGTATTATATTGATGTGTAGATCGTACAGATAGTGGGACTTTAAACCGCAATGACTAAAACTACAAGATCAATCACGTCTCGTTATCATATCGTATTACCTCTAATTTCATTCAAGCCCATTAGGTGAAATCAAAGCTAAGATGAATGAACAAAAATCAGCCTAACAGATTTACATAAGTATACACAATAAACGGTCACAATTAATGTAATAGCTAATAACTTATATACCTGTCACACGTATTTAAATGACCTACAAGTAATTGTTAATTGGACGGTTAACCACATACACCGTAACATGTACCATTTTAGAACTAATTGAAAATCATTGCAAATGCAATAGTTCATGTCGGTATGATCTTAGGTTTATTTCTTTTAAAGATCCCCGTACAACTGTCGAAATCTGTACATAGGAAACTGATTTTTATGGCATGATTATAGCATTATATAACTGTAAACATTATATAACTATAAACATTATATAACTATAAACATTATATAACTATAAACATTATCATATGTAAAAACAAATCAGCTTCATCGATATCTTAAACGAACTTAAAGGGGAGTAACTGTATATTTATTGTTTTAGATTTTTACCTCCAGGGAGACAGATATCCTAATCTATATCATTTTTCAGTCGAAGTGATTTATGGCTGTTTACAAAAGACATCCAAAAGATAATAACAGATAAAGGATTTTTAATGTACCTACCTGGTTTATACTGGTAAGTTTGAGCTCCTTTAGCGATGGTATCAACAAATGTGTTGTCAATAGATAAGAAAAGAAACTAGCTATAATAGAAATATACCACTGCATACCATACATATACACTTCCGCCGGAACTCCCAACATCATAACGCCAGATTCAAATGAAACCATTAAAGACAAGGCCACCGGAAATGACGACATATTGCCATCGCCTAGAATAAATCGTTTTGTAGTTTTCAGTCTGTTGCTCCGTAAAGAAAAGAAGAGGCCGATTCCCAGAGAGAAAACAAGTGTTATAACAAACATGACGTAGTCTTCCCATTTCAAAAAGGCCATTCTGTTCAATAGAACGTAGTAATCTTTAACGCCTTGATTTTCCTTGAAAGATTCACTGATTGTCTCTTTTGACCTGATGAAGATACTGCCTTGCTTGCCAGTGTGAGCGCGTTGGATGATGTTGACCAAGTGCACGATCTTGAAAACAAAAGAATCCTCATAAATGGGTTTGACACAACTCCTCCACCTTTATATACTTGGTCCCTAGTGGTGATCAAGACAAAGTACTATTGTAATCCTCTCAGCCTGACTTGGATTATCAAACTTTTCTATGTATATGTTCTTTTGAATCAAACACTTTAGACTTGATTTACTTACAAAATAGTATTCCTTAATCATGAATATGCCCAAGGAATATCCTAATACAGTAACTTTAACACGATAATAATCTCCTTAATGTCTACTTTTCCCTTTGCCGTTAAGTAAATTTTCATGTGCATATTTTTTCAACATTCGTCAGCGAGCAGCATGTTGGCTTGTTGCTATATACAATTCTCGATTCAGAGATAATAAGATCGTGATAGATCTAAAGATAGAACAAAGGTTGAAACGACGCGTCCTCATAGAAAAATCTGTGACTACATGTTTAACAAAAGAAATCTCTGCACTTGTTCTTTTAAATAGACAATTTAAATGCTACCAGGTTTTATGTAGCTTAGTGTAATTGGTATACGATTGATCCTCTTTCACAATCATATAACCTTGTCTACCTACGGCACTGCATTACTTACATATTACACTAGAATATAACGTGTACTGCTTTTAACAGTGTATAATCTTTCCTTTGTATGCGATATTTTGAATCGTCGACCGAATTCTTTCCACCGCTTTACGTGTTTATTTTTAGAACAGGAGTTATTTTACGTCTATGTGGCGTTGCCAATAAACCTCTTGTCAGCAGAATGTTTTTCTTTGTAAATTGCATTTTTATTTATTGGTAAATATAATAAATTGATCTTACAAGATTATATTATCGATTTTAATTTGACTGGTTACCATTAATGTTAGTTCATTACACCTGGTCAATTTCACCCCTTGTGTGTTAGATCATCATAGAATTTAATTAACCAGTATGCCTCTTAATTTAGAAATTCGTTAAAGTTATGAGGTCTTGCGCACCTCCAGTTCTGGTTCTACAGTAGTTTTGATCAATATGAGTTCGGCCCCTAGCATCACCAATAGTGCAGTATAATGCATTGTCCTGTGTACTGTATTTATTACCAAATTTTAATTGTGCAATCACCTGTGTGATTAACGTTCATCTTCCAACCATGGATGAGAGTTTTGAGTTTAGGTTCTGCTCTCGGCTGTATCTACATTATGCAGAAATTATAGATTCTTTTAATCTCTAACCAAGGATGAAATTAATTTTAAAGCCAAATCGGAAACGATCGGGTTAATGCATTGTTATTGACATTCATTCAGTGGAATTTCTATATGTTGTTAACGGAGGACATCGACCAAAGTCGGACACCAGAGTGCTGCTGTTTACCGGGTCATAAATGCATACTTCTATTTTACTACCATTATCTAGTGGATACACATATATAAACATAAAAAGAAGATATGAATCGATGTTTTAAAATATTTGAAATTAACAACGTCCCGAATATGAAAACAACTAAATGATACGTTATACGTAGGTTGTCATAACAAAAGTAGTTTCGAGTATGGGGGATTGTGTTTGCAAAATAGCATCATAAAAACATTCAATTCCTCTAAATGCTGAAGTATAAAAGAGAGAGTTTTCACTGAATTCAATAAAGAAATGATCCATTTCGAAACAATAATATTCATGAACATGATAATGAACAAAAGATATTATTTGTTAAAACAATATTTTTATTCTAAAGGTTATTAATAAAATATCATACCTACTTTTAAGCTCGTGTAATAGCCAGCGCCCTCGTTTGTAATGGGGGACAAAGTCTACGATTTGTGTCTCCTCTGGAAGACAAATGACGGCATTGTAGTCATTATACCAAGCTGCTATTCATACACATACAAAGAAAGATTTATCGAACGATTACACCCAGTGACATAGTTGTGATATGTAGGCCAGTCTTTACAAAGTCGTTATAAACACATCTACACCGCACATTGAACCTTGTCTTAACCCAGGTGTATTAAAAATCTAACCTTTTGGCATATTTTTGTTGTTATTTCAATTGAAATACGCACTAAGTTCATGTAGAACCACAATACGGGTTGTTTGCTTATTTACCTGGTTAAAACAAAGTTGGCTTCATGGAATCTAAAAATAAAAGGTAAGCCTAATTGTTTTTGATTATGTATATTAACATTTGAAAACTAAAGATTATACATGTACATTAAAGTCCACTGCTGTGATAATGGTTTTTTATTATTTGTTTTAGCAATGGAGAATTCTTTTTGTAATATTTAGGCAAATTATGTCTGTTTTATTTACATTCTATTTTTGTTAACCTTGATCAGATTAGGTCAAATCATTATAATACGAGTAGCAGATGAACATTAATCTCTCAAAATAACGGACCTATAAGAATAAATAATTTAAATACTATAATTAGGCATTCTTCATTACTAGTGAAATATGACAGGCCAATGAATTCCCTCTAGACACATTGTACTTCTTCCTTGTCATTTATGATAATTCATTAATATTTAAAAAGTAAATTAGAAGTTTTTGATGTAGGTTTATGTTTTTCCATTTACATTACATAAACAATTCGTTATTTTGCCACTAAGAAGTCCAAAATAAAACACAATCATTCTGATTTTTGTTTGGTTTTTGTCTTTTCGTCATTGTGTTTTTTCTTTATTTTGTTCCTTGCTATATATCGTTGTTTCGTCTTTTCGTTATATCATTTTTGTCGTCTTTTCGTTATTTCGTCTTTTCGTTATTTGGCTTTGGCGCTTTGGTGTTTTTCGTTATTTCGCTTTGGCGGGTTTTCGTCTCTCGTTATTTCGTTTTTTCGCTTGGCATTATTTCACGGGCGACAAAGCGAATAGACGAAATGTCATATATAAGCCACCTTAGATACAGTTGTGGGATCGCACAACGTTACACGATGTGCGGTGTGCGCACGATGTGTGCACGGTGTGTGAACGGTGTGTGCACGATGGGCGAACGATAAAAAAACTGGACGATCATTACTTGCGCACATCTGTGCGCACGATGGACGGACGTTGTGCGATAACAATCGTGGTTGGTGTAAATTGAGGAATGCCTTAACAATTTATACGGTTTCGTGTGTTTAAACATATAAACTTGGTGTTTACGTATGTTTCTATATTCTAACAACATATGTAAACTTATCTTTCTGTCTATACATTCTTCTATTTAGAAATTATGTTTTCTGTGTTTTTAAACAAACTTAATCGACACATATAAAATTACAACACAATCCCGTATCAGAGACGTATAATACGTATTATACGTCTCTGCCAGTATACAGGTAAACATAACCACTTTATACATGTACCTGGACCATAGTTTTATCCCCGCCTGGGGCACTTACGTAACTCCTCGGGTAAGGCCGGGGGTGTGAAAATCCAGGTGAAGAGGAGCTATAGGCAAACGAATGCAAATAACAAATACCATTCATTACGGTCAAACGGTATCGCATATCAGCTCTGTATGTCAGGCACTGGTCAGGTAAAACTCCGGACACTCATAAAATTGTTATTTACCTGTTCTGTTACCTTGGAGCCAAACCCATTCTTGACAGCCTAACGGTCGCTGTAATTCTGTGTAACACGCATTGTGAAATTGTATAATCTTGATTACTGTGATGAGAAATTACAGATATATACACAGTGTACATTATCGCATACAAGCCTTCCGTATTTTTGTCATTCCGTAATTTTGATCTACAAATGATACCAAATCGCACAGTTGTGCGGAGAGAAGCGCACAACGGGGCGAACGATTGCTAAATCGCACAGTTGTGCGCACCATATGTGGACGATGTGCGGATGTGAAGATTTTGCTATACATCCGTCCAATTTATTACACCCTCTGACCAAACCCGTTAATTGTAGTTTTAGTTGAGTCACTCCGAGGTACCCTGTTAAAACAACAAAGACCCTCATCCCATATCTAAATTACTATTAGTTATTATTATTACTTTTTAATGCATTTTAATAGGTTTTCTTATTAATTCTTTTCTCTAAATAATTAAATTAAATTAAATTCTGAGGTAGAAAACACTGCCATTGCAAAGGAATTTGAGACTGAGGAGGGTTAACTATTAAACATAATTATAATATTTTTATCTGTACTTGTACATGTCTTTATTTCCTGAAAGCGCATGTAACTTTATTAACATAATATCAAGTTATGTATTTGTATTATGCACTTGCAGTACATGCCGTTCTATATAGTATATACTATATATAGGGTAGGGCCGTTTTCACTAGGGACGTTTTTACTAGCGCCGTTACTGCAGTGAGGCCGTTTTAACCGGATACGAATGCAAGACGATGAGTGGGAGTGAATCACATTGCATCATGATGAATGTTGGTCAATATACAGAGGCTAAATGGCGGTCATTAGTAAAACACTGATCATCAACCATTTTCAGAATACAAATACTACAATTTCAGAGTTATGTGTTCACTTAAAACCACATGTGGCGATCGAATACATATCAAAGAGCAATTATGTTTAGTCAGTATGTCTAATAATCTATTTGTTAGCAATTAAGTCAAAATTCAGACAGCGGAGGTAAATGCAAGACGATGAGGGGAGTGAGATCACACGCTATAGAGTTATGATGAATTTTGGTCAATATTCAGAGCCGTAAAAATACACTTTCTAGATAGTCAGTGCGATTGAAATCTTTCTGTGTAAATGAAATTATACCAGATTGTAATTATGTAAACAAATTATTACATATTTATGATAAATTACCGATAATTACATTCATTCATGAACCCACCTGCGATCGGTAATCCGAGGCTAAATGGCGGGCATTATCAAAAACACACCATTTTCAGAATACAAATACTACAATTTCAGAGATGTGGGTTCACTTAAAACCACATTTTGCGACAGAGCATATATCAAAAAGCAATTATATTTAGTCCGATTGTCTAATAATCAATCTATTAACAAGAAATAAAGACAGAAGTAAATAAAAAATAATTCACTTTGAACTCTCGAAATGTTACAGTACACGATTCCCCAGAATGTATAACTTTTCAACTGCAATCAATTTCTACGATGATTGAAGCGGCGGGTTTTTCCACAACATCAAAGTGCACCAGACATATTTCCTCTGCCGAAGAGGCAGTTGCCTTTCCCTCTTATCTAAAACGTGGTTGATTAAAACATTTGCTTTAGCTGATTTCATAAGGTAATGAATTGAGTTATTCTTGAGAAAAATTCAACATGAACTTCTTCGAAAATCATATTTTTTTTCTCGAGCCTAACTCAATTCATCACCAAATGAAATCGACCACAGGAAGATTCAATCCTGAGACGAAATGATAAATTGAGTGACAAATGGCTTTCCAGATTCATCGATGGTTCACTGGGATAATCCATCGGAAAACCGTCGGCATTTTCCGGAAACAAGAAAATATTTTTTTGTGTACGGAAAGTGCCGACGTTTCCCGATTATGGTATATCTCTTAAGGATCCCCACACCGCAACTGAAAACTGTAACAATGAATTTGAAACATTTTTTTTCATAAATCTTTTCTGAAATGAAAGCCGTACCATGCAGGACTTTTATGGGTCGAACCCTGAATTTTAGGCGGCTGCGTTTTCGCTTTAACTAATCGAGCTACCTGGTCACCGAAAGTATACTGGCCCAATGGTGCTATAGTTATAGTTAACGAAAGTTAAGGGCAGATAACTGTATATATGAAAAAACACATTGCAATGGTACGGGGATCCTAAAAAAAGACAAATGCAGTCTTTTCAAAATGGATGAAGTGTTTTTCCGTCATTATATAAAAATGATATAATATCCTTATCATGTTAATTGTATTGATGTGTTGAAAATAGTCCAAAAACGGATAACCAAACAAATATTCGGAGTGCATGTAGAAATAGTTATAACTACGTTGAGCTTCAGACAGCACTATTTGATTTAACACAAGTATTTTAGAAAAAAATTAACTGTGACTTCAATCAAAACGCGTCCGATTTCCTGAAGATTTAGCCGGACTTTTCAAAAACACATGGTGCCAGGGGTCATATAAAGTATCCACAACATCAAAACATTGAAATACGGAGAAGTTTCATATCTCCACGAGTAATACAATTATGGAATGATATTTCATCAATAATTAGAGTTGATTAAATATATTCACCACTTTGTGCCATCTATCGGTAGCATGATCAGTTCATTATCATGGGTTGTCAGTATGGGAATAGTTGAGAACGACTTGAGAAGAACTTGAGAACAGATTTTCCCACTTAGGAATGTATTTTCTGAAAGAAAAGAAAAAGAAATAGTATCCACACCAAAGTGATCCGCGTAAGAAAATAGTGCGTATTAAACAAATCAATATAAGGCTATAAACAAATATTTTGAGCTGAAACATTTTGATAATCCTTATCATCGAAATTTGAAACATGTTATGTAGAACAGTCTTTTTAAAAAGAAATCAATAAAAAATGTTCTAGTTCAAATAAACACACTCTAAATTAAAACAAATTCGTTTACAGTTAACCTCGATATATTGCCGAGTCCATATCTGAATATATTGCCAATTATTCCAGTTTTCACCTAACATACCACCGACATTCTTCAAAGTATACTTTATATTACGCCAAGAATATTACTGGCCAAATTATGGCAGTATACCGAGGTTTAACTGTTAATTTAACCGCATGTCTTGAAGTCGAAAACTGAGTTACATTTTATGAACTTACTGTTTAGTCGACCTGGGTATGATATCAGGAACCAGCACATCATCAGACCTAGTACTCCACTAAAGTTTAAGATCACGAAGAATAGCCTTTAGATCATTGTCCGCACTATACTGTTTATGTCATTATAAGCTGAGTTTATCTGACAACGTTCATATTCAAAGAACCTGGTGAAACAGACGAATGTCAACTGAATAGTAACGTACTCCGGGCAGGGTTGGATCAAAAAAAAAAAAAAATACGTTATTAACACTTATAATCAAACACAGTAAATCAACCTGTTAGTAAGTTGCGGTTTTCCATCCTCGAAAAACTGGCTAGCTGTTCTGCTATCGATTTAGTGTTTATTCATATATATATACATGTAAGTGGGTGTCGCAATATTTTGGGACGCCCAATTTACATGTAATATACCATATGACATATCCTCATGAAACCTTTCACCCCTAGGTAACCATACATTGATCTGGATGAGTCCAGTATGATCTTCAGTGGTGAAAGGGTTTACAAATCAGCCACGTACACCAGTGACAAATATATCTGTAAAAGAACGAGGTCATACAGAACGGCGAGGTTGATGAGGCCTCAAGCGAGTGACTGCTGGTTATCATGTTTATCTAACTCGAGTTATTCAATGTTCAGTTTGTATAAAACATGAGGTTTATCAACGATTTAAAATCAATTAAAAAAGGTCAGATGTACATGATACCTAGCCATTACGAGTTCGGGGAGTTGTTTTTTTTCAATAACGTTCATATGATATCGAGAAAAACGTTTTATCTTTCAGGGGGATAAGGGGGGTCTATCCCAGATTTTTTTTTGTATTTGTAGACGCAAGGTGCATTCGAGCATTCATGAAGAAGAAACGGAGTAAAACAAGTAGGTCCGCCCACTTCGTTTGGAGGACTTAATAATCCCGGATTGTTTAATGTGAGGCATGGACACATAATGTACGTCTTTATGAAGCTATTGACTCTCTTCAAACAAATGTATACACATTCAGCTCAAAATGGACTACATGAAACTACCTAATACTGTCTGTTTCATTTGCCCATAATATTGACCAGGTTAAAATTGCCTGTGCATATGAATACATGTTTTTATATAATAGTAATAATAATTCGAGGTTCTTATATACCGCTTTATCACAACCTAGTTCGTACGTCGTCTCGAAGCGGTTCACAAATTATTATCCGTGGTTATATAGGGCCTTTGCAACAAGCCAATGTCGTTTTCAACTCCCTTGGGAGCATACAACCGCCTGGTGCTGCCATTTCGTAGCTTTCAGCTAGTATTCAACCATTCTAGCACTGCCCGACCACGTGCTCATTTACAGTTAAGTAAGCGGATTAAAGTACCTTGCTCAAAGATACAACACAGTGCCGTGCCGTGCCGTGCCACAACCGTTCGGCAACGAGCCCGGCGTCCTACCACTATATTACCGTGCCTTTGCAAGAATTAACTACATACAATCAAATAAGACATTTTAAATACGATTCGGTTTTTCATTAAATCATAATATTGCAGTATTGAAATGTCAACTTACACCATACCTATTTTGCTGTGTGATAGTCCTCCGATGATGGACTGTATTTGTACATTACGTCGACTTAGATAGCAGGGACTGGCAACACCACTTCCGTGAAGGCATGTGACCCTCTCGTTGGAGCAAATTTATCTGTACTGCGCTTGCGTGCTATATCACAGACCGGTTTCCGGTATCGATAACCATGTTGTTTACCTAGGTGACGAGAGACCGAAAGTGTGACACCGATTCATCGTGGTTAAAACTTTAGAAAATAAATGCATACACGAGATGATATCGCAAGCTTATCTGTTTATATCAAGCAGTATTAGGTACCGATAAGTGTATGTCAAGATGATACATCATTGTCAAATATGACTGACCTTTTAGACATTTTTAATGAAAGAATATACAGATTATGAAAAAAAACCTAAAGATTTCGGAGGTGATAAGAGACATAAATTCTACAAAAAAATGTATAGATAACTAGATTTCGAGGTCATACACAGCACGGTAGAAGCACAGAAGCACAGAGGTGCGTTACAAATGTCTAGTACACATGTACATGTGCTATATACTGATAGGCTGATAGCACATGTATGTTTATGTGTGCTTTGATCTATATCAGTATGGCATAACGTTCTGTGTAATAGACATTTGTAATGTAACCCCAGTGGGATTTAAAAAATTTAAACCATTTATAAGAAAAAAAACTTAACATCAGCTGACCTTATACCTTTGTTTGTTATTGTCGAGATTTTGAGATTTTGGAATAGATCATTTAATATATGTACCTAAAAAATAGAACACATTTATCAGTTTATATTTTTAGGCAACAATCAAAGGCATTTTTAAACCAGAATTCAACCATCTTGGCTCCACATATATATCCTTTGTTGTCATTAAATATTGTGATACAGAAATGTTTTCTTGATTTCTGTGACATGATTTCAGTTTAATCTGATAACATCACAGTAAGTCATATTACAGTCCGGAGTTCCTACACAAAAAGAGGATATGCCTGAATTCGAATAAATTAATTGAATTAAATGTCGATCATTAGCAATTATGTACATATCATATACATATTTTGATGCAACTTAATCGCAATTACTCCACGTGGTGCATTTTCGTAGCTTTTTTTTTTTCTTTATGTATTCTACATTAAAAAAATGTGACATAAACTTCTGTACCAGCACTATGAATCAGGCTTAAAATGAAAAAAAAATGTCTAAACCTGACTTTCCCAAACATTGACAAAATAAATTATTGAGATTTTGAATTTCAATTAATCATGTTTCAATTCAGCATTTTGTCAATAATTAATGACTATTGAGAACTTTTTGACTTGAACTTTGATTCTGCGAAAGGAAACGTCTATTTGATATGTTTAATGTCTTTGCTGTTACCAAAATATTACACATTGTAATAATAAGCAACACCCCCTTCCCCCCAATCATTTTTCTTGTCCCAGAAACTATATAACAAGTCCAGGGTATTCTACTTATTAGGCACAAGTATGATTTAAATTTGAATGCAACAACATTCTTCTATCTTTTTCAGCTAACCACAATAAAACTTGCGGTTCCAGCGACAGCTCCACCACCAGTGTTCCTGTTGACAGCACCACTAGCTCAGATCTGTTGTTCTACAGGTACCAAGCCCACTCGTTAAAGCTATTATGTTGTCAGCAACAAGTTTCAGTGTCATTTAAATCATCAATATATTCCTAACAGATTGATGATTTTCATCAACTTCTTTGGCCAAAGTGCTTTCGCTTTTTATGACATTACTACAGAGAACTTTTCTTTGGTAACTTTTATTTTTGTGTTTCTCAAGACATTTTTTTTAAACTGATTTAGATGTGTCTGCTGTGTAAAAATGAGAACAATTATTAAAGAAGCTTCATCTAGTTCGAATAAGCCCTGAGCTTAAAACACAGTATAAAGGCTTGTATACAAATTAAAGTTTGTGGTTCACATATTTAATTGATTATTATCTTTCACAACTGATGTGTTGTCAGTTTTGTTACTCAAGTACACAATATATGTATTTGTATTTATGTGAGAAAGTTGGAACATGTTTCATATGAATCACACTTAGATAGAACCAAGAGCCTGCAACACATCCTTTTGCTGTAGGTTAACAAAATAAAGTGATGCACTTCAAGTAATTAATTATTTCACTTGGGTCAATTTCACTTAGTAATATATACTTTGGGAAAATAGGTCATAACAAACATGTTTACATGTACAAGCAAATGTAAAGTTTTCACAGAATATGAGAGTTTATTATCAAATGTCTAATAATAAAGTTCATATACTTGATTTTATATAATATATACAATGAGCAGGGCTAAGTTGAACCATTTCATAAGTCAAATAAAATTTGCCTTCAGCTTTTGGAAAGTCAAAAGCATATCAAGTTGACATGTTCATGGAGAGACAAAACAAATACTTATTGAGGATCATCTTGCATTGAAGCCCTACATTATGTGAATAGGCGTGAACACGACCATATCTCTGAAATTGTAGTATTTGTATTCTGAAAATGGTTGTTAATCAGTGTGTTTTTGATAACGGCCGCCATTTAGCCTTGGATTACCGATCGTGGGTGGGTTCATGAATGCATGCTATTCTCGGTAATTGATCATAAATATGTAATAATTTGTTTACATAATTACAAGCTGGTATAATTTCATGTACACGGAACGATTTCAGCCGCATTGATGATCCGAAAAGTGTATTTTTACAGCTCTGAATATTGACCAAAATCCATTGTGATGATTCCTAATTTCAGCATGCCAAAGAAGAAAAATGGGGTTTAAATTGCTTCAAAGACTTACAGGTTTAATACACCATTCCACACCTGAAGAATTAATTTTAAAATCAAATAACCAGTTCATTTTTATCAGAGTTAACATTGAATTATGATATAATTTGTACATCACCACGTGCACGCAAGCTTACATGTATGTCACCTGTAAGTAATAAATACAATTGTACCAGCTGTATATTTTCATTTGAAATACCGTTATACTTTGCTTTTTGATATGTATTCGATCGCAACATGTGGTTATAAGTGAACCCATATATCTGAAATTGTAGTATATTTATGTATATATAAATAAACATTGATGTATATTTAGATAAATTACTAAGTATAACGGGACGTATATATATATATGAACATTGGTGTATATTTAAATAAATTGCTAAGTATAACGGGACGTATATATATATGAACATTGGTGTATATTTAAATAAATTGCTAAGTATAACGGGACATATATATATATGAACATTGGTGTGTATTTAAATAAATTGCTAAGTAAAACGGAACGTATATATATATGAACATTGGTCCCTTCTTTCTGGTGCTTATCTCTCGTTGACTCACTTTATGTGATAGTGCATCTTGCGCAAGAATAGGTCCTCTACATCAGCGTTCCTTGTCCGCGATGTTCTCAGCTTAATTGCTGCCATCGGCTGTCTTTAGCCGAGGGGACTGTTTTTTTTATATAACAGCTATATTTTCAATTATAGTAAGGCAGTTCTATCTTCTTGTAATATGATGTATATGTACATGTAACTGTTCTGTTTCACTGTGTCTTGATAAAGGAAAGCTCCGAAAATTTGACAACCTAAACTTGTCCAAACTGTTGGAATTACTTCTTTGCCCCATATATGAAAATTGATGTATATTTGAATAAATTGGCTGTATTGAACTAAGAGGTCCAAAATAAAACACAAACATTCTGATTTTTTTTGATATTTTTTTGTCTTTTCGTCATTATGTTTTTTCTTTATTTAGTTCCTTGCTTTATATCGTTGTTTCGTCTTTTCGTTATATCGTTTTTTCGTCTTTTCGTTATTTAGCTTTGGCGCTTTGGCGTTATTTTGTTATTTCGCTTTGGCGGGTTTTCCCGTCTTTTCGTTATTTCGGTTTTTCGCTTGGCATTATTTCACGGGCGACAAAGCGAAAAGACGAAATGTCATATATAAGCCACCATAGATAACACTGCCGCACACTAACATGTCGTCGATGCTGGTCTCATGGTTGAAAGTCTCATTCAAATTCAAATGATATGTGAAAATTATGCTATACATCCGTCCAATTTATAACACCCTATGACCAATCCCGCTAATTGTAGTTTTAATTGAGTTACTCCGAGGTACTCTGTTAAAACAACAAAGACCCTCATCCCATATCTAAATTATAATTAGTTATTATTATTACTTTTTATTAAATGCTTTTTAATAAGTTTTCTAATTAATTCTTTTCTCTACATAATTAAAATAACTTAAATATTGAGGTAGAAACACTGTCATTGCAAAGGTATTTGAGACTGAGGAGGGTTAACTACCAAACATAATTATAATACTTTTATCTGTACTTGTACATATCTTTATTTCTTAAAAGTGCATGAAACTTTATTAACATAATATCAATTTATGTATTTGTATTATGCACTTGTAGTACTTGCAGTTCTGTATAGTATATCCTATATATAGGGTGGGCCGTTTTCACTAGAGCCGTTACTGCAGTGAGGCCGTTTTAACCGGATACGTTTCAAGGTTATAAATCAATCTATGTATCGGCCTTGATGTATCCCCTAACCCTCTTATAATGCCAAAATAAATAACCAGGTTTTACTGCTGTATAATGCCTGTCATACCAAATCTCCGGTCAGCAAACGATTACCTCTAATTATTAAAATTCGCCTTATTCGCTGTCACACTTGTCCGGCATCTATTTGTGCCTTACCCTTTTCCAAAAATGTCGTAAGCACTTTGCCCGTTCACTGATATGTTATATAAATGCATTCAAATGTTGGAGCGAGTTAATTCTGCTTAATAGTACTGATAAAAATATGTCCCTTCTATCCTTGTTAATGTGTTTATCATTTATCACACGAATGTTACAACTAGTGGCTTTGGTGTCATTTGTCAGTCGTTATAGATTCCCATTTATAATAATAAAAATAATAATTCGAGGTTCTTATATACCGCTTTATCACAACCTAGTTCGTTGGTCGTCTCAAAGCGGTTCACAATATTTTATTCGTGGGTATGGGGCCTTTGCAGCCATCCAATATTTTCTCAACTCCCTGGGGAGCATACAGCCGGTGCTGCCATTTCGACGTTCACAGCTAGCATTTAACAATTCTTGTACTTCCCAACCACTTAATCATTTACAGCTGAGTAGACTGAAACAAGCGGAGTAAAGTGTCTTGCTCAAAGATACAACACAGTGCCGCGCCTTGACTCGAACCCACAACCATTTGGTCAAGAGCCTTGCGCCCTACCACTAGACTACCGTGCCTCCGTATTGTTGATTTGTATCACACCCCATTCCATTAGTATTTCACCTGCAATCAAACCGGTGTCGAGAGATAAGTTATAAGCTTACAACAAATGAAACTCTCGGAATTTGAACGTCCGAATCGTGTACTCACATAATAAAAATCATTATTTTGTGTAAAACACGGGAGCACACCTGTACTGAACTATGCAGATACATGTACAGTGTCCTGATTTTAAATTGTCAGATACTGTCACAATTCGGACTATAGGCTAGTGGCCTCGGATGATAGCGCTTTACCTTCATAGTGTATGGACATCAATTGTAACCTTTGGACCGTAGGTCGTTTTCTTTTTCTTACAGGGATGACTGACTAGAATGGGAGGTAACTATACTGACAAGTCATCATGTCTGTTTTCTTCAAATGGATATAACTGGCTTGATATCTAAGGTATAAGGTCGTTTACGATAATTATTTGTATACGCAGAAATGGAGTGTTATGTCTTTATTATCTATATTTATATTGTAAGCAATAACTTCTGATGCATTAAATACCATTCATTAATGAAATAGACAATTTGATATAATGATGATGACCTCTGTACACCGTAATTATATCTTATCGTTGTAAACAATTCTCCCTCTAATTTTAACTTCTATTAAGTTGTGTCGCAATGTGTGATGAACTGAATTAATGTGTTTCCTTATTTAGGAATTTTATTAAATAAAAGATATTTTCGTTTGATGTAATGAAGAACCTTACATTTCCTGTCCTCCGTGCATATCCAGAATGTTCACTTACTATCTTAATATATTGACACAAGAGTGACCTCTTATTTATGTCGTAATCGGTAATACCGCAAATTCATCAATTAGGACATTATTAAATAGATAGATCAATCGAGCTACTGCCATGTTTAAAAGGGACAAGGGAGTGTGCATCGCCTGCTGTTCTTTTGCATTTTCAGCCGAAAACCAATGTACTGTTCCTTTATGTTTCATAAATCCCTATTTTATTAGGGACCCCAGCATGCTCGTGTGTGTAACTGTCAGTGTGAGCGTGTTCTGATTGTTGTAGTTCCGTACATCCAACGACTCATTTAAAGTGTCATACAACGCAGAGGATTCTACAACAAACTAGTTGGATCCCCTGTGAGGAAGGTGGGGCCAAAAAAGAGCAACTATTTGACACAAAGTGTGTTCGCGAAGTGGTACCGCGTCCTCGGAAAATATCGGGCGGAGAAGCACATTTTATAAAAGATCTCATACTGTCAGAAGCTTCGGTACAGTGTAGCTAGTTCGACTACACACTTGTCTATGAGGTTAGTTAATGATGAGCTGACACAGTGTCAATTAAATAAGCTTTCAAGTAGGAGATATAATCACAAGATGAGAAATCATTGAATCTTATAATTGTAAAGCTCCTTGGATGAAAACAAAATACTGTGTGACCCTTCCATCAGGATTCAATCTTTATATACATTTGGTTTCAGTGTACAGAGGTTAACATACATATGTTCTACGGTTGTGATATACATTTCGTTTAATTTATTGCAATAACTTACACGGTGTTTGTGTTGTTTCATGCGTGCAAAACATGACCGACCACACGTCATTACCGGTTTACAAGTTTATTCAGTTTACAAATATGTATTACACAAGTTGTTTAGCATATTTTTAATGTGTTCTTGCCCCTGAAACCGGCCTACATACATTTACTGATTTATTTATTTGTATGATAATCGTTTTACCATGTTAATGTAGAGCAAGATACACAACACTTTAATATAATATACACATACAGGTATCACAATTCACAATACACAACAAATATATAATATACTTAAATAATTATAAAGCTGCTTTAAATCATTTGATGTCCCGAAATCCATCGGTATCCACATTACACGTTTTTGAATATGAAGCTCCCTTTTTCCATCAATTCATATTATATATAGGATCTTTAATACACCAACCTTAGCACGAAGGAACACTGTTCAATTCATTCAATCAGACTAATCATGATTTATCTGATTTGCTATTAACTAGTACTCCTGTTATGTTTGAGGTTTATAACATTAAGGCGTTTTACGCGCCTTCCATTTTCACCTTTTGTTTCAAACGTAATTCAGACTTTAGACCAATTTGAAATTCCACCACATTGTAGGCCCTATCATCACCGACAAGGACGAAATAGTTGATTGGTAAATGGTGTTTGACTTTTTGCACTCTGTATCTTATACTTTATTTTAAAGGTTTAGTCACATGTGAATAGTATACGTTCAACCATTACAACTAAAGAAAGTAGGAGAGACAACTCGTGTAATTTTCATCACACTAAGTATGCTTTTTAATAAACTTTATGAAGTAAGCGAGACTATCCATGTCATTATACATGTATCAAGTTAACGACTATCCTTATTTATTTTAATTTAATCTGAAGCAACAGGACAGCATAGTATAATAATATGTTCATTTAAACTGAATCAGGAATATCGCAAAGCTTGGAGATTAAAATTGAGAATAGAATAATTATATAAGAGCAAATGTGACATAAACATCAAGAAGGGCCCACATTGAGAACTAGATTATTGGAACAGACAAGGTGTTCTAGAAGGGTGTATCATATACTAAATATGGCATTTATCAAAGCCATGACGAATAATGTAACGCCATCAACGATCTTTGAAGTGAAGAAGTAATACCGATGATAGCGTTGTGAGATAAAGAGTCATGATGACATTTATGAGGGATATGAAAAACCCGAACTAGGTATTTCATGCTAAGGAATTCAATTACCCTAATAAAGTAGTACATGCCAAGTTGACGAATATTCCTAACTAAGTAGTTCATGCATAGAAGATCAATTATTATAATTGAGTAGACTATGTGCAGTCGATACATATCCCTTACTAAGTAGTTCATGCGAAGGAGAATGCCCTTAGTAGGATATTTGGAGCTGGCTATTAAATAGAGGAACAGCAGAGATATCTAAACTGAATAAGCAAATGTGCGAGAAATTTACTTCTTAGGAAAAGAAAAGTATGAAATGTGACACAAGTACTGGCATGCGTGTTATGAAGATTGGTAGTGAATAAATATCTAATGAAATTTGCAAAAAGACTAGGGCTTCAATTTGAAGCTGAAAGTGGAATTTAAACTGCAGATATTGATTTTGGAATGTTTGGCAAAAACACAAACATTGTAAAAGATATTGGTATCTACTGCTTTTAATGATACCTGTAGCAACGAAACATGTCCTAAACTCTTAAAAACTAACTGGAGCAAAACCACCATGTAATAGATTAATTAGTACCTAGTTACAGACGCACATAGAAAACTAAATAAAATGACAACATTACATTAAAGCATCGATTTGTTGTTATAAATGTTTGACAATATACACCACCGGCAATATATTTCTTACTGGTTTCTGATTGACCTTGCTACATTAATATATAATTGAATATGAATATGGGATACAGACTTGTATACATTAGCATACATTATTATCGTCAAACGCCTTTAGACTATTTTCGGGGACGGATACAAGCTCATCCATTATATCTGGTTCGTCTTTAATAGTTTCCTGAAATGAAGAATATAGACATATTAGAATCACTCGATAACCCTTACATTTTATCGATACCTCATATAAAGCTATATATAAAAACCAGTACAGGTTGATGACGGCATATACAATTATATACAACGTACTGTAGGCTGTAGAGTCGGGGAAGCAGTTTCAATTAATGAATTTCTCTTTAAACAAAAATGAAAAAAATCGTACAATAATGAAGAATCAGCACTCATTATACAATTATTAAATTATCATCTTATACTGTTAATTATAATCCTTCAGGAACAAATACGTCGTTAAGATAAAGCAATACGAACGGTTGCGAAGAGGAACGTTGACACTATAGGCCAGACATGTGTTAGATATGTTATTTGACCACACAGGGTCAGGAGTGTTTTGGCACATTCCACACCTCGGTACATGTAAATGTATGTACATGTATGCCTGTCCCTTAGTAACCAACAGTTTAACTGAAGATATGTTGTTGCTTATTATTACTTCAACATAATAAAGAACCGAGGAAACAATACTTGTACAGTGTCCGCTACCTTTATCTCTCTCTAAATAGACCATAATCCTGTTTTGATATAGCCTATATGTTCAACCATAACGACATATTTGCTGATTTACAAATTACAGTATATAGCCGATTTCCCTGATTTGTGTAACGATCATTAAGTTTTCTGTCTTATACTATAAACATCTAAGATGTTTTTTCTATACAATAACGTATATTTGTAAGCAGTTGTATCTTACAGTATGTATGTATCAGAAACAAGAATAATGTTACGTGTTTCTCGTTTGATAAGAGCCTACCTCATCTTTTCCAGAGTACTTGACTCCACAACGGAACTTCTTTCTGATCTTTTCCGGAATGCAGGAACTCAGATGATCACACACTGGAACAACCAATGATGGGTCGACAGGTTTCTGAGCTGTTGACGAAAAGAGTACGTCTGTAAGTATTTAACTACTATAAAACAATCAGTTCAAATTGCAAAAATGAATCCAAAAATACGTGTCTCATAAAAGGTGTGGCAATTGATTTGACGCTGTTTCCAAATATTGAGCAGTTTCTTTTCGTTTTTCGTTCTTCATGTTTGTAACGACTGCCCCTAAGGCGAGGATCCTGGATTGTTCATGTGTTCAATATGAATTCAACAAAAAAGCTACTAAATAGGTTTTCAGCAAAAGGTGCTGTTTTTCTCTCGCTGTCAAGAGTTGACCTTGACCCCAAAACTGTCGTTGCTCGTAAGCCTAGCTACATGTAGCCACTATAGGTGTAATATAATCATTATGCATGTGTGCATGCATGTGTCCGTAGTAAAACGAAAGTGTATAAGATATATCATTAACACAATTTAATTCACATTCGATTCATGTTATTACCATAATATGGTAGTATTGATTTATATACTTGACAAGATTTTGATATTCATTTGTCGAGATTAAAGGGTCACGGTCCAAAGATTACATTTTAATACTTTTGAAGTTAAACGTTTTGTGTAATATATCTTATGAATCCCTTAACAATTTTATTTTTTTTACAACAAAGTATTGTACAGCATTGCGTTTTACACCTTATTATAATACGATTACGGGTAAAATAATATTATAGGCAAAATCACAGTGTATCATTTTGGAAGTAAAAAGCTTGTTTACAATATGTCTCACAAAGTTCTCAACAACTTTACTCAACTGAATGGTAACATTTATTTCCACAATGTCTACATGCTGGTGGTCAAAAGGGTCAGAAATCACGGGCAAAGCAGTATCGGGATGGGAGTTGGGATACGTGGTTGATCTTTGTATCACATTGATTCTATTCCATGAATGAAATCATTTCTGTACCTTGAAAACGACTGGCGATTGGTCCAACAATGAATACCAAACACATCCCCAGCGGCAACAACCACTTATAGGAGAGAGAATATAGCACATCCAGGCCTTGTCTGTTAACAAATCAACTTTATTTCATATAAGTTTACATATGAGCCATTGTCTTCATCAATTCCATTCCAAATCAACAGTGCACTGCGCCAATATACTATTGTAATTACTAGTATTCATTGGTTATTTATAACTTTGCATTGATCGTTTTGATTCATAAAACATCATTTCGAAATCATACAGAGGGATATTATGCACCTCTACGATTTTTGAGATAATTGTTATATCATTAATTTCAAGGAAATATAGTACTGGAACAATGCATATATTTATTGAAAGATTAACGTGTTTGCTCTTTAAAAAACCTTGATTATCGATACAGTATGAAAACAATAAACACACTGCACCATAAAAGCGAAAATCGTGGTCATCAAGATAATGGCAAACCTCGAGGACAAGACATACATCGGCAGGGTCTATCGCTCTGTATCTTTAAAGATAACCGTAAGACCTACAGTTATAGATAACATTATTTATGTTGTATTAAAATAATGTATGGATTTGAATATTCCCTTTCCTTTACTTACACTTAGGAGTAATGCAGTAATCCTTAACCAAAGGAAATTCAAAATATATCATCAGATATCATTGTTGAGTCAAAATGACAATGTGATTTCTACCTATTAAATCTTAAGTTACTAAGATTGAAGTAAAACACCATACAGGTTATCGTGTCAAGAAAATGGAATGGGTATGGTAACGTTTGGTTTAGAAAGGAATGCGCGGACACGCACAGTTTCTTTTTATCGTATGATGATTCTGAAGCATTTGCCCTATTTTGAACGTTTGACCTGGAAATGACTTAGTAATCTCCTGTTGTTTGTGTTAGAAAACATAATCGTTTTATGTTTAAGAAACTTTAGTGAACGATGCGTGAACACGCCATACATGTATTTCCAACCATTATACATTTACTTTTAAATAATTACCCTGACATTGAGTATATGACCAGGCACTTTATGTGAAATGAATGTCATATATATATTTATGTACCTCTGTAAAATTCGTGAACTTTGAGTAGAGAGCTTTATCAGAATTTATGTAAAGATTGAATTCTACTTTTGCAAAAATCATATAAAAGTTCTTAAGCGGTGTCCCGGGCTTGAATAAATGACATCCACTGGTCTACAGAGATTGACATCGCGTATACTTTCATGATGTTTTGTTGAATATTTCAGCAAACAATCTCCGGACCAACCAAATGTGTGACTTTTCCATCATATGTGAAAACTCAATAAATCTCACCTTGAAACTAAAACGTCCGATTTTGAATTTCAACTAGCCTCCAAAGATTGATGTTCATAGTGTTTGTGCAAATTTGATTATAAACTAGACACTGGCCCGACTGATGGACGAAGGGCATAATGACACCTACATGTACATAATACCCAATGTAAGCGAATGTAACACTGTACAAAGTAATCCTATGATTTTTAAAGCAAGTCTTCGAAGTGTGGTTGTATAAAATTACTTACGGTCCAGTTGCAATTGATGCTTGGGTCGCCTCTGTTACCATATTTGTGCCATTCCACATTATCCCTGATGGTATATGGCCATATTCTGTTGCATTCGCCAATACAGAAATATTGAATCGTGGGCAATTTTCTGTTGATGCCGGTTCTAATTTGTCGTTAACACGTACTCCTGACGAAACCAACTTTCCAACCGATACCCATCCCACAAACAGGAAAGAGACCACGCCACCGATTAACGCACCCTGTGAAAGTAACACAAATCGATAGATGTATAAATACTCAGTATAGTCCTGTTCTAAACATAAAAAGTATACTCCAAAAATTCAGATCACTAACGCATAAAACGATACCATAAACCGAAAGGCTGAACCACTGTCAATAACTGTAACTTCCCAGGAAACCTTTTTTTCGCCGTAACGACTAAAAAATCATATCTGAAAAGAAAACCATTTCTTGCAGAATTTGTTTATTAAGCAGAAGTAACAAAACGCAATCAACAACAATATTCTGAAAATTAAGCAAGGATAGACTGCGATTCGAACCATATATTTCCGATTAATGTAGTTTTTCTCCTACCAACTGAACTACATTCGTGTATCTGGCCAACGGAAGTGTATTGACCCAAGTTGGACGTTGGTTTGCTGTAAAGGGTTTAACGTCCAATCATAAGCTTAAGTCATTTAAGGATGTGCTTCCATGTGCGTGCATTTGTAAATGTGCGCATGAGGCAGGATGTGTTGGTGTATTTGCTCTACTGGTTGGTCTACTTGTGACAGCACGGATCTGATGCCGAACTGATAGTGCTTCCTAACTGAAATATCATAACAAAGGCACCCATTACAGCATTACGCCCGGTCACAAAATACTGACAACGGGTGAACCAGTTGTTATCATCACCTTAAATGCTGAACGCTAAGCAGAAAACAATAACGATCATTTTAAGAGCTTTGGTATGTCTCGACATTGGGACCAATTTCACTGCGATCCTCAACTGGGTGAACGTTCAACATTTAAGCAAAAAAGGGAGGCGCTACGGAAGAGCAAAATACCATTCAAAGAACACACATAGTCATTACATGTTACTTGTTGAATTGTATATACTTACCAATGCGTTTGCTGTCGGTATGAACCACCCAAGTAGCATTATTCCGAGTGTTGCACCGCTCATGCATGCTCCTGTGATATCTAGTATCTTATAACAAACAAAAAATCATACACAGAGCTACAAATCTATATATCATCAAATGTCACAAAACATCAAAATGATGAAAAAAGGTTGAAAGAAAATTAATCTGCAGTTGTGACATGCAGGAAACAATTGAGGTTTTCGCCACCTAAATTTCATATCGTATGAATGACGGCGTAACCCAAAGAAAAATGTATGCAAAAGTTACCGGTGATAGCCACCAGGAGCCCTAAATTGGTACCCCTTTTTGATGGGTGAAAATTGGAGCTAATAAGCCTGCGTAAAAGCTTATAGGCCTATCATATATCATATAAGTTCCTCGAAAACAATGTTTCCCTCACTAGACAGATGTACAATAGATGAGTATTTCACATAAAAATAATCAACGTACTCGAGGTATGGGTCCCTTGATTGAAGATATGCCAAAGGCAACCATTATGGCCAGCACTCCGAAAAGTAATACTGAAGGTGTAAATAAAAGGATTTCGATGACTTGTTTTTCACATGTCATAATTAGTTATAGGTTAAACCTTATTGCAAACTGTAAACAAACATAAACTCAGGCAAAGACAGAATGTAAAATATCCCAATATTGTTTCAAATTAATAACATAGTTTAAACTATACTTATAATATCAGTATTTTATATCATAAAAAAATGAAATAACATGTTTTATGAGATTATCTAAAACACCATGGACTTAAGATAAAATCATATAGAGAGTTCATTTTATAAAAATAGCAGAGTGCTAGAATCATGGATGGAATTTTTGCATTTATCACTTAATCGCAGATATGTCACCGGATAATTGTGCGATTCGTATAGCCTGCTTGTCTGACATAGGTTTGGTGTGTGGTTTGACGATATCTTCCCAAAACATGGCCGACATTGAGCTGAACACCGACGACATGGTGCTGTAAAAAACAGAGAACATCCGTTAAAAGCACGTGTTACTTCAGACACTGACAAAAATTTGAAGATTATCCATTAAGAATTATTGAATATTTGGATGATGGTTAAAACAAAGGGGCGGGGCATGTCTATGTCTCTATTCTGTTTGTCTCGAGCGATGATTAAAAATAAAAGTACTGTGATATTCCCTTTTTTTTCTTGTACGTATGAAAATCAATGCTAAAAAATGTCTGCTGGCGACAGATGACGCCATGAACAAGAAATAGCACCATTAAAAAGTGCTCGCGTATGAAATTAATCCATCATAAAATAATCCTTATAAAATCATGAATCATATATTCCAAGCATTCTACGCAGCTTATAACAAGAGTGTTGCTTTATCTATTAAACTCTCCTCAATGTACATGTGATTGTATTCCTCAGTACAGCACTTTGTTTAATAGTTTACAACTGTCACTGACAAGGATCTTGACGATCATCAGAAGTGAGTTGGAATATGTGGTATACAGCTGAATTTGTTTATGATTGTTGAAAACGTAAGGCAGTGTATAGGAATGTTAACAGTCCATCTGATAGTGTTTTTCTATGGTTGTTGTGAGAGACATGTTCTAACTGTGACAATATCTCTGCAGCTATTTATGTCATGCAGATTTTCTCTTATTACCTGAGCGAAGCACTGAACAGCGCCGCCAAGAAAAGTCCCGGAAGACAGGGTGTATCCTTAAAAATTTCTGGTAACATTTTGGCCATTAACTGCAAAAGAAATTCTTGATAGGCAATATTTATATATCTGTATCTGCTTGGATATTAAATAGGTTGTATGGAGAAGGCTGAAACTTGACCAAAGAAAATTGCGTCAGATTTAAAAATACGTTTTGTATCGATCTTCCGAGTAAAATAATTTCTTGTGTATTGCCCGCTCCGTATATTGGCCGCAAATGCCTGAAATTATCATCTTCATGAAATAAAATCTCATGCTGGTAATATATCCCATCTTATCATGCAAACATCCGACGACAAACTTTATAATTCCTATAGATTTGCTGTGCATTTGTTTATAATTGCAGAATTATAAGTTTAAAGGGTTTGGATGATATCGCATAACCCGCTCTTTTTACAGCTTTTTGAAAACATTACGTCATATTGCCCGCTTCATTAGATAGCCCGCAGCAGGCATTGTCAAAGAAAGAAGCTGTATAACCCGCGGGAAATAGGCAAAACATTACGGTACATTGTAATTAATTTTAACAATCACCTGGTTTGGGTTTCTAACTTGATTGGCTAAAAGTGGGTCGCATCCTTTCGCTTGATAGTACGCGAACATGACGGCCCCCGTCATGGCCGATAACGCAGATACAAACAGGAATAACAAGGACGCTATGAGGTACATTCTGAAATGTACAGAAGGGCTATCATTCATATCAATTCAAAAGCATAGTATTTTGTGTTGTTTGCAGTATAGATATACAGAACAGGCTCAAGATATCGTTTTATTTTACAAACGTTTTCTCAATTTAAATTTCGTCGATTAAGAATCAATTTTAACTGTGATCTCCGACACTTTTACCGTTTAGCTGTTTTTTCTGTAGGAGTTGCTTTGATCCGTTGATATGTCGATTGAGTAAATTGCAATCTGAATCCAGAGATAACGCTCCCAACAAATAGGCTCCAAAAGGACTGGCGTAAGGTTGGATCAGGATTAAAACTTAAAGAAATATATCACATTTAGTTATGATCCACCCAAATGATTACAGGAGAGATACCTGATACAAGGTCAAGTTATCATAATCACTTAATCAAATAAAGAATATAAATATTTCATTGTAATGCATTCAAGGTATTGATAAAATGTCTAAAGTCCTAAATCACAATAGTATGATGTGTTTTCTTTTGTTTGATCATTTAATTGTCGCAATTCCTGTCACTGAAAACCTCATTGAACAACTTTGTCCAAAAGCCTTGGTTTTATAATTAAATTGTTTACTTTTTAATATTCTCTCTTAACGTAAATCTTTTACAAAATAATCGACAGAGCTTATTATAACAACCCTTTTTATTTATATTGATGATCTTATTAGGACTGGTACTAAAATCCTAGCCAAGTCCTTTAACTTCACAGTCAGATATATCGACGATGTGGTGTTCTTGAATAAGAATTGTTTCGACCATACCGATCGAATTAATCCTCCAGAGCTTAAAATCAAGAACAACTCAGACTCTTCTACATCAGCCGCTTTTCCCGATCTTTTATTTTACAACATTACTTTTATGGACTGCTTACAAGAAAAGCTGCAAAATAAGCAAGCCGATTTCGACTTTTGCTATCGAAAACTTTCCTTTTCTCGACAGTAACACCACTGCGTCTATTACTACGGTATCTACATGTCTCAGTCAATTTGTCGTTTTGTTGGCGCTATTCATGTTCTAGATAAGAAAACGGAAAATTACCTGGATTTGAACTAGATATACATTGTGGGTGTCGTCGATGAAGCAGAAGATGCTTACCTTTTCGGAACACCTAGTCTTTTAAGCCTTGAACGTTTATATTTTGGCCTAGCTTTATTGATTTTGAGTTCGAACTTATGTTATGTTGACAGTTCTTGTTACCATAGAAGACTAGGTTGTGTGTAGCAACAAGACAAGCTTACAGGAATGGAGTGCCTTGTAACCAACCCTCTTCCTGTTCTTCCTAAAAATATATGATATGGTGCTTTAAAACCCTAGAGCCACCGATGATTCAGGAAATCCAAATTTGAAACAACAAATAGAGTAACTTACACCGACAATAATAAGCTTAGCATACTGACAAAGTAGCGATGCATTTCCGCAGATTCGTTAGACATGAGAGAATAGTCTACGAGAAGTGAGGTCTTACCATATAAAAATAATCAAATTAGAATAAGCTTGATTATTTCCATGTTTTACATTTTTAAAGTTTCAAAATTGATTAACTTACCTAAATAAGAAGCGATCTGCACAAACTGATTTGATAAAAAAAAAAGATTAACTTACTCAAACATGTTTAGCCGTCCTTTTTCCTTCACTATGTTCCAAGTGTTTGTCATTCCCCCAGCTTCCATCGTACCCTTGTTTTACACATTCAAGGATAATATGATTATGAGATTAAATTGTAACGTACTACTTTGATTATGATGACGATGAACAGGAAACAGAAGTTATCCAATTAATCCAATTTATATTTGTAAGTAAGAATTAATTTAAATAAATACTTTGTGCTTTTCATTACTTACTATTGGATGTCTGTTTCATTAACTGATAATTATTGATATTTCTCTCCGTTAAAATTTAACGGAAAACATTTTTCGATTGAATCGTTAAAAATACGATATAAAACAAGTTTCATTCATATTCCTTGATTATACAAGACAGCCGAGTAATTCCTTGATTACCTTGATGAGAATTGCGAACATGCCACCAAACATGAGAACTGCTTGAAACACATCTGTCCATATTACAGCTGTGAACCCTCCCTATAATAAAAAAATAACTGAAAACGTCAAACAGAAACAAACAAACAATGTTTAAAGAAAGACATACAAAAATCTACAGATGTTCTACAGGAAAAGAATATTCTATGTATCGATACATTAATTAACGGTGAACGTTTTCCCTTGATGTGAATCTTAAAATGAAGGGTACACTTTTCTACGTCGGAAGTAACATAACAATATGATAAGCTTTCTTTGTTTGTGTGTTATGTCCTATTAACAGCAACGGTCATTTAAGGACGTGCCATGTGTTGGGGATGGCGGAAAGCCGGATTTCCTGGAGAAAAACAACCGCCCGGCGGTCAGTATCTGGCACTGATCTACGTAGGCCTCGAACCCGCGACCCAGTAGTGGAGGGTCAGTGGTAGCAGATTGTCAGACGCGTTTACCACTTGGCCACTGCGGCCCCAAATTTATATGATATTCTGATTTGTTATAAAAGGTATACATTAACTGATCATATCTGTGATAACTAAGTTATACTTGTCTAATTTATATATTAATTACATTGTTTACCATCAAGACAAATATCGAAAATTATATATAACATTAGCTAAAAACTTCAAATTTCACATTTGATTATTAAAGGTGCAATAGAATTTCATATTAAACAAATCTGAACGGAATTTTCATTTACTGAGGTCCAAAGCCACATTTTACTATTGCTGTTACAGATGACACGACGGTGGAAGATTTGGTTGTTTTGTACATCTATGCTCCTTACACTCACTTGTACGGCAAAATATAGCATGTCATCGCACTCATCAAAATAGCGATAGTCAGCCATATAGTTGGAAGCAAACTCAACTTGGTATCTAGTGCACGTTGTAGTGCACCCGTAGTGGACAAGCTAGACAAAGCTTTGTATTGCTAATTCTAGTTCACATCGGTGCTTAAATTCAGTATACTGTGACGTTAACTCCAGTGCACTATGATGTCAAGTCCCGTGCACTATGATGTTAACTCCAGTGCACTATGATGTTACTTCATTGTAACATAATGTTAACTTTCATTATTTTAAAGAAATTGTTTAATAGTACATTTTAACTAATAGAGTGAAATTTGCATCACATTTTATTTCTATGTTTAAGTGATATATTTGCTTTTATAATATGTTCATCATTCTGGTCCATCAGAGGTATACAAATATTTGCTTTACATAACCACAATAAATAAACAAATCAAGAAAATTAAACATAAGCAACCCCTCGGGGCTTTCACTGTGTTCCCAACACTAGTAGATAAGTGGTAATCAATTACAATTAGCAGTTATATACAGTTGGCCAGGTGGAAATGACATTTTATTGTCCTGATTTAAAAGATGGCTAAGTGCAAATTCATGTAGGTAAAGTATCGACATATGAAATTAGCTCAAAGATTAACTAATTAATCAATGAAATATATAAAGTTTCCATATCACAGGGAATCTGAAATTTTGGCCTCAAGTTACAACCTTCTTTCGGTGGCAGCTGGACCTTGGGGCAACGTGACCCACTGACAGATATTTTTCATTTTAATATGACATCTATACCGGAGAATATGGGGAGTAACATTTACCATTCACCTGTGGTAACATAGACTTCTTAAGGGCAGTGCCTTATCTTGGTCACCTTGTATCACTCACCCATCACTCACTATCAGAATGTTGATAATCAGGATAGTTTTCAAAGTTTCTCAGACAGAATAATATTGTAAAGATAATAACATTTTTATCTAACTATGAACAGGGAAAGTTTTTGAATTATAGCAGGTCATTATCTTATTTCCCGACCAAATAAATTAACAAACAATACAACTTTGTTAAAGCTATTTGTTAAATTAAGTGCATTTTCTGTGATTGAAAATTAAAGGTGTGAAAATAAGTCAATCGTTTCTGGTCAAGGGTACCACTGAACTTGTACATGTATGATTAATTGAAAAAGATAATTCATCTATTTTTGCTGACCAATAAGTAGTACTACGTCAGTTACACAAAAAATAGTATCAGCCTCAAACACTACCACTGTATTTAACCTAAATAGACTAAAATACAACTTAATTAAATAGTTGATATCTATATATACTTTATGCATGATAAGATAGGCTCAAAACCATAAATGAATTTTAATGAATATGTCCATAACTTAAAGTATCACAATTTAAAACACATCTACAGGTTAATAATATACATGCACGAATATTTAAACAGGTTTACTGCTTCTAATTAATAAGGTCTTGATGCATACTTGAATGAAATAGCTGTCATTTAAGGATACTGCTTTAGAACACTTAAATTACATGAATTATTGCCATGGTTGTTTTTCATTTTTTTCATTTTTTTTTTTAAGTAGATGGGAGGGGAAAAAATCATAATAAGTATAAACTTATGGAAACCAGACGCACAATGCACAAGCTTGTGAAGTCCAGTGCTCTTCAGTGTTATATGTAGCACTAGTGCATAAACATGTGAACTCTAATGCACAACCTTGTACAGTTGTGGGATCGCACAACGTTACACGATGTGCGGTGTGCGCACGATGTGTGCACGGAGTGTGAACGATATGTGCACGAAGTGCGAACGATAAAAAATTGGACTATCATTGCTTGCGTACATTTTTGCGGACGATCGACGCACGTTGTGCGATAACAATCGTGGTTGGTGTAAATTGAGGAATGGCTTAACAACATACACATTCGATTGTTTAGTATGTTTCTATATTCTAACTACATCTATAAGCTGATCTTTCTGTCTATACTTTCTTAAATTTAGCAATGGTGTTTTCGGTGATTTTAAACGACCTTAATCGACACATGTCAAAAAATACAACACAGTCTCGGCAACACAGGTAAACATAGCCACTTTGTACCTGGACCGTATTTTTTCCCCGCCCGAGCCACTTACGTCACTCGCCAAGGTATGAAAAACAGGCGAAGGGAGCTATAGATGAAAACGAATGCAAATAACAAAAACGCAACGTCTAGTGGTATTTTCATAACGGTCATACGGTATCACATATAGCAGCTCTATGTGTCAGGCACAGGCCAGGTAAAACTCCGGTCACTCATCAAATTGTTATTTACCTGTTCTGTTACCGAGCTAGGAGCCAAATCCATTCTTGACAGTCTAACGGTCACTGTATACTGTGTTACACGCATTATAAAATTGTACGTAATCTTAATTATTGTGATGAAAAATTACAGTAAAAATACAGTGTACATTATTGCACACGAGTCTTCCGGGTTTTTTTCATTCCGTAATATTGATCAACAAATTGTACCAAATCGCACAATGTGTGGACGATGTGCGGACGGTGTGTGAACGATGTATGCACGGTGTGCGCACGGTATTTTTGGTGCGTTGTGCGGTCACACAACTGTAACATTCAGGGCAAAAGCTTACGACCTGTGTACAACCAAGTGCACTGGAGTTAAATGTCCTTGTTATCACCAGTGCATTAGACTACAAAGTTAACTTTGCTCACAAATATACTATTACTATATACTAATATTTTGGTAATCAAAGGGAAACCATCAAATTTCCTTTATAAAGTGGTCAATATTAAAACACACTATGTGACATTTCAATTTCAAATCAAAACAAATCAATTTGATAATGAGGAAAATTTTACAATGACGATATAACTAGAACAACAACCGTTAATGTGATGATAATGGCAAACACTAGCAATACAACCGTCAATGTGATGATGAGAAGTACTTACAATAATGGTATACACTAGAACAGCAACCGCCAATGTTAGGTGGTGTGCTTGCAATAATAATGTACACTTGAACAACAATCGTCAATGTGATGATGAGGAGTACTTACAATAATGGTATACACTAGAACAACAACCGTCAGTGTGATGATAGAAATTGCCATTGGAATATCAGCCACTGAAATGAATAAAGGATGTTTCTGCTCTTTCAATGTTATTAATATGATAAATGCAACGCAAAAATATGTATACAAACACGTTTTTATCTATTGGAATTCGAAAATCAAATGTATTGACATATCTGATTTATTTGTTCATATGGTTACAAAGATGTATTCTGGGCTAATGGTGAGTGATACATTTGTATTTACCTGGAAATACGTCAGGATTGTCCGCCTTCTTATCCATCAAATAAACCGTTATTTGTTTGTATTAAGTTCTAGAAAGAATCAGTAGTATATTTTCCACTTTATTTCTAATGCAAAGATTCCGTTTTGTGAATCAATTCTTACCCAGTTCCAACGTCAGAGCCGGCACAAATATTACACTCCCAAGATAGTTCAGCTGTATAAAAAATGGTATTTCAAAATTGATTCAAAAAGGAACAATGTAACATATCAATCTGTTTAAAAGAAAAATATGTGAACTCCAATCATAATGCCATGGTTTAAAATAGAACTAAAAAGCAAAAATACGAATTCTGAAAACAATCCTTACTGTACAATGTAAAAGGATATTACTTCATAGAAATGTAAACGATACAGTATGTACACGGGAGTAATTTTAAGCTTACCGATGACATCAAATTCATTATTGATGCAAACAATCTGAGTCCGTGAGAGTTGTATCGAAGCTCAAAATACTACAAAGAGAAATATATTTTATGCATGTATTCTCGTCGGCATTATGGTTATGATGCAAACTTATTGTATGGCTTTCAGTTTTAATGTTGCCATTGTCTTTTGTGGTATACATTCTGGTGATTATGACGTAATTGATGTTTGACAGCGACACTATGCTGGTGAGATATTAGAAATAATGCTTTCCTTTGACGGAAGTAATCTCTCATGATACCTCGGTGATAATGGTGTCACCCAAGGCTGAAAAGTGATACTCTAAATTCTTTAACTACTTTTGCTCATATTTCAGGAGTTATAACATGCTGAAAAGCACTCGCTTACTTCAAATAGCCATTTGTTTTTTTACGTTTTTTAGGATACATGTAGATATAAATTTTATTTTCATGAAATCTGAACTTTTGCAGGGAAAGGCATTAATCAGTGCTTATTGACCTTGACTAAGTGTATATTGCTAAATGTATATTTTGATAAGACATCATAAGCAAATCTCCCAAGTACATCAATTTATTTAACGTTTGAGTAAAACTATTTGTAAATGTATCCATTAACAAATTATCTTTTGCGATAACATATATTTGTGTATCCTTGTACAAATCAAATTTATTTTATTTGGTGGTTTGGTGCAACCTGAAGACTAGCCACAACTATTCCCTTGTTTGTTACTTTCGGTAGGGAACTGGAGATAAGTATTACTTATCACTAATAAATTATTTCTAATTTTACCTTTTTCGTTTTGAAGTGTTTACCTGGTTCATGCTGGTGATGTTGAGTTTCCTCTGTAACGGTATAAATAGACGTAAAGTCACTAAATGGGAAAGGAAACTCCCGATAATGGAGATATACCACTGCATACCGTACATATAAACTTCCGCCGGAACTCCCAGCATCATTATGCCAGATTCATAGGAAACCATTAAGGACAAGGCCACCGGAAATGTCCACATATTGCCATCACCTAGAATGAATTGTTTTGTGGTGTTCTGTTTTGATCCTCGAAGTGAATTGTACAAACCAATTCCCAAGGAAAAAGCCAGGGTAATAACAAAAATGACATAGTCCTCCCATTTCAGAAACGCCATTCTGTATTACAAAGTATACGAATATGAGGATATTATCCCTGGAAAATAAAAGATGAGAAAACAAATTAGAAATGAGTTGAATTTGGTGTTTGAAATTCAAAAACGAGAAATTTGAAGGCTATTCAACAAAAACTATCAAAATGGCAATAAAATCGATGCTCCGAAAATTAGGTGTTTCAGCGTTTCCTGAACCCTATGTAGCCAGAAAGTATTTAAGTCACCAACAACAAAATGCAGCAACCGAGTATTATATGTTATTATAATATTTATATATTTGAAATCAAAAGACGACCCTAAAGTTTTTTCAGTGTAGATCCATTCACCTCCGGTACGAAACCCCGGAAAGCAAGTTCATTTGTCAATGCATTATCTATAAAATATAACAGCTCAAGCGGTATATGGAGTTGCAAATCAGCTGTGAAAAGACAATTTCATACATAGAAGCTTCTTGGTATGACATTACTAAAATTGTGTGAATTCGGGATAACAATAGACCTGCACAATCACACTGCATGTCATTAGAGGAGCGTAATTCTGCTTTAGGGACATGCTGTTTCCCATTCCAGGTGTATGGCAAGAAGAAACTAATAATTGATTAACTAATAATAATCGGGCGTTTCCTGAGTTTCTTTTAGCTGTCTTAGCTGTCCACATTTAATATTTGCCTTCTCTCGTTATCACGCATTCATTTCCGTGGTTATTACCTATATATGTCGTACTCATATAAACCTGGCTGTTGCAAGGACATAAACCCCGAACAGGTAATCAAATAGCATTAATTTACTTCCAGGAAAAGGGAAGTTAAATTTTGTGAATTAATTATATTTGGTTTGAAAGTGAAACTTTGAAAGATTCACTTAAGCGAAGTGAATTGCGGCGATCGGAATAGGCTATTAGTAATTAATTTCATACGAGCCTGACATGAGCCTTACATTTTCCAGAAAATATCATCCGAAAACAACAAATACAGGATGTAAGATGTTTTTTTCAGAAATAACACATAGTAATTGTTATGATCATGAATGCAAAGGAAAACTGTTTGATATAACACAATAGTATGCTTACCTTATGATACTGTTAACCACCCCTCTTGTGAACCACAACTCCTGTCTGCGGTACATCAACAAATTTTATTTCATAATATCGCTCATATTAATTCCGTACTAGTGATACTAATTAAAAGTGTTCCACTTATTTTGATTAATATATTTATCGATAAGGAAGTTTTGTTAGAATCAACATCAGCCAATTGTTATGACCTTGAAGCATCTGTTGTTTTATTGATTTTTATTAATTAAAACATGAATTGTTAAATACCATTATTAAAATTCTAATTAGGAATGTATCACCATTTATGAGAGAAAATTTTATCAAAAGAGTATCTAAATCGTGTTGATATTGTAAAATATTATACATCCTTGAATAACAACTAATATTAACATATAATGTATTACATTTAAATTCCAGTACACAACAGTAGGGCAATGAAATAGATTTGATATGAAATGTCTATATTGATTTATAAGAAATGAAACATGTAACAAATATAAATGGTTGGCGAAAACACACAAATTGACGTGAAGTCTTCATATAGAATTGTTAAGTATACTAAAGAGAAAAAGAAAGTTAAAATCATCTTCATTATAGATATGTTTCGTAATATTATTTTTATGACTTTCCATTTTGAGGAATAGTGAGAAAATAGCGCTGCGTCTTACGCATGATTGATAGTATCCCTGACAATAGCAACGAGTGAACCCTCCTCTTCCTGTAAAAACTGATCTTTTTCCTCGCTACACATCTTATTTGAAAGAGAACGTTTATTAACTTTAGGAAGGTGATATAGGGGTTATGACGACTACGCAATCTCCTGTCAAACAATACCATAAATATTGAAAATGAGAGAAAGTGCAATAAAAGGGCCATCTATCTGAATAGCCTGTCGTGTAAGGCCTCGCTTAGTCTTACACATCGCGGTAGCAAACTCCCCGGGATGATCACAAAAGGAGACTTCAAAACATTATAACCCCCCCCCCCCCCCCCCCAAACCATCACTGAGAACTCCGTCCCGCTCCAAAGCACTAGAGACAGGCAGCGAACACTTGATTCAACGTCAATACACACTTTGATGGCCGTTCGTTCGACCATGATTCCTCTGTAAATAACAGGCGTCGCTTGGGTGATATATAATTACGTCTGGACCACGTTCAATTAACGATCGTCATCGATGTTTTCAGCGTTGAGGTGTTAGAATCTGACCAATGTTCGGACGGCGGGCATGCAAATCATTCTTGGAATTTTCAAAGCATCGTACAGTGTAAACTACCGGTAACACTAAAGATATATAGCCCTGTCATGCTATCACGATCTACCGGATACTTTTTGGGTGGTAATCTTGACTTACCAATTATTGGTACCATTAAACCCGACAAAAGGACTTGCTGAGTAACAAGATAATTGAATCGAATTGAATTTCAGGATCAGATGCAATATCAAATATTGTATATTGGTCATCATTCCTAAGACGTTATCCAACCAACCGACTGAAAAGTATATTAAACAACATAGATTGTAAATGGGTTTTTTAATTTGTCTATGGTCAGAAATGTAATAATCATATTCAAATATAACCGTCTCTTTACATTGGCAATGCTAAGACCATGGCGTTTCCGTACAGACCGTTGGCATACACATATTTCATGATGAATATGTTCCTGGCAGCATATGTTGGTTTATGAGTTAAACCAAACACTTGAATATATAAAAATAATGATTACTGGTATTCTAATACAAAATCAATATCAAGTTTGAAAAGATAAAAATATCACACCTGTTTATCAGTAGATCGTTTGTATAGCTCAGAAGCATTTAACATATTATGCCAGAATAAGGATCCCTATACCGCTGCCAAAAACTGTAACACAGTACTGGAAACTGTTGTTTCCGGTATGACTATAGCTTTTCTAAATCATTTCTGAAAAGACAAGCATACCTTGCGGCACACCTATGAAAATTAAGAACAATGCAATTAACAAAATATGACCGACAACAGTGTTCCGAGTGTAACAAAAACATCATAGCTAGACCAGAATTCGAAACCCGCACCACAGATTGTTATACTATATTGCTCTAACCGTTTGAGCTACCTGCTCTACGGAATTGGCCTGGCCCAACTACGGTACTGTCATTTCTAAACGGGTGTTAAGGGGAGGCTACTATAGAAACCAGTCCAGTGGAATATGGATCATCAATATGGGATCTTAGTTGTACGGGCACTAGCCATCAGGTCATAACTATCTAGCAAATAGTATATTGGTTGATGGTTTTGAATTCAATATTTTAGACATGTTTAACAGCTTAGCACCATAAAACATTTTAATATTTTATTTGCAATAAGAAAAGCCATCTTACTTTGTCGGACATGGTATCTTTTTGAAAGTATAGACCCGTTTTCTTAATTTCTTTTATGTCAAAATTGTACCTAACGAATGTTATATTGTGGAATATTTCCATTTGATTCCAAATTTAATATTTTTTCTTTGCTACAAATTCTGTGATTTGTTAAGATTATCTTATGAGACCCATAAAACAGCTGTTTATGTTGAAGCATACACATCTGCTTTTCCATGGGATTTCTTTAAACAATTTCCAAATACTCATTTATCAATAAACCGTCAAGTTGTATGCACGTAAATCCCGGCAAAAATCAAACTTGAGCGAGATGTTTTAATAAGAAGTGTTTGTAGGAAATGTCAGGATAATCAACGCGTTTTTGCAAAGGGTTTTTCACAAAGAAACCTTTCTGTCGATTACGACACCAACGAAGTAAACAAGATTACCCATGATCATCGGCGGGGACAACTACGTGTCTATTCCGTCTTTGCGTATTGCAGAGTTGTCTTCTCTTGAGAACAGGTATTGATTGTTACGTCATTGGTTTGTGTGAGAAAATTACGTCATTTTCTCAAAAATTGATGACGTTACTCTCACAAACCAATGACGTAACAAGCAATACCTGTTCTCAAGAGAAGATAACTCTGCAATACGCAAAGACTGAATAATGGAAACAGGAAAATGCAGTAAAGCTGCTCGACACGCAATCTTTACATTAAAATCACTATCTGACAGATGCCAACTGAGAGAACGGATCCTGCATATTGAATTTATTCTTCCATAGTTTTTGTTAATGACATTAATTTTATCGGTAATAATTGTTGATGATCTCTCAATATCCTCACATGTTACACTATTGCTACTCAATAACTATCCCAAGGCACAAAAAATGTACATTTTTAATTGCACGATAAAATGCAAACGTCAGTTTCGTAGTATTGCATATTGAAACATATTTGTTAATATTTGTCCTGTAAGCCTATTCTTTATCCTATTTATTCTGTAGATCATAAGAGGAATACTACAATGAACGATACGATACGACAGAAATATATATGATATTCAATGGAAAAAACATTACATTTTCTATTCATTTAATTTAAAAAAAAGTAACGCGTTGCATATGTTGCTACATCAGAAAAGTGCAGGCATTTGTAGCGTTATGTTTGATGCTAGTTCTAATGACGTCACGCTTACGCTTGACAACAAAGCAGAGCGCCATTTTGAATGTGTCATTCAACGGAACTCTGCCGTTTAATGCTTTTATCTGGTAATTAAGGTTTACACAAATACATTATAACAATTGTGTAGTTATGTAAATGCTATTATTTATGTTGCAGAGGTGCATAAAAACAAACGCTTATTCTACCGTCACTTCATCTGAACTTGAAACTGATAATATATTGTGTTATCGGTTTCCGCGCACTTAAGAAGCAGCCGCGATTTCTCACTCAGATCGGTAGAAAACTGTTGAAATTACGGATGACTGCTATAGACATGTACACAATCTACCAATGTAAAGTTTTAATGACGTCATGCTTGACAACAATGCAGAGCGCCATTTTGAATGCGGTGCTCAATGCAATTTTGCCGTTGCTGCTAGTTTTATCTGGTAAGATTTCCAAACGAAAATGATATCAATGGTGCAGTTATGTAAATACATTAATGTATGTTGCAAAAGTTGAACAAATTTAAAGCAGCCACTTACATTGCCGTCGCTTCATCTGAATTTGAAACTAAAACTCTTTACAGTGAAGTACCGTTCTGATTGGACAATATTAAGAATGATATCTCGATATAACATTTCTTTGTCTTGACTGCAGTTAAGATAAAATATGTTATCATAGTAAAATTCCTGATGTTTCACCGGTAAATGTAATAAATACGGAGATAGTAGGGTTAATGATCATATTTAATAGATGGTATGCGGCCTCAATTTTCCAGAAGGCTTTCACGCATGGGGAAGCACCGGAAGTGGACAGTGGAAGTGTTTACAGATCTTACCCTGCTGCGCTTCGCGCCGCTTAGGGGTTTGAAAAAAGTAATTGGACAGAAACCTTGGCACACGTCATGAATTTAACAGTTCAATTTAAAACAGCATTAAACGAAAAAGGCAGAAATGCACTATAATGGAGCAATTGTTGAATAATCAAAATAAAGAAAAACGTACAGTCGTTATTCCAGTTAAATATCAAATAAACGATTAAATAAATGCATTATTTCTTTCTTTTGATTTTACGAGATAATTTGTAAAAAATATAAGGTATATACGAAGACGAAATGAGCTTCGACTGAAATTACAGCAGCTATATTTGTTGATTTTGAGTATGCTTACAAAGAAAAGTATACATCAACTTTTAGCTCATTTCAATTTTTGTTGGATTTGACGTATACAATGGTTTGTTTTTGTCACTTCAATCTAAGAAGAATATTTGCGTTATGCAAGACATATTTCAGCAGTATTGGTATTGAGGATTTAGCAAACGAACACTTCACATCAGTTAAGGAATTAACACATATATGTACGTCTAAGATAGTATGTAAATGAGTCATGATTTACTTCACTAACCATGTCCAACAAATGCACTTTGAAAACATTCCCTGTTGCCCGGTCTATTGGCAAGATCGGCTTGGGACTTAACGGAAGTGACGATACGTGAGTAGAGTCAGTAGAGCTGATATACATGTATTTGATCATTTTGTGTGAAGGATTCGTTGGTGATTGCCAATTTGTCCCCACACACAGATATGGCCCTGGGTTTGTCTATACCATCCTTTGACGTCAGAAGTTCCCTAACCTTGCTCCCATCTGAGGAAATCTGGACTACGTTGTTGGACGCTTGACCACAAACGTACACATTCCCCTCGCGGTCTAGGTCTACTCCCATCGCGTTCTTGACAACTCCAGATATCAACATATCTGTTTTTATCCATGCGGAGAGTCTTGTAAGAGCGACTGCACCCCATGTAGATGTGTTTAAGCTGGCAAATACTTTCTTCTGTTTTGGACAGTAGGCAAGATGGCAGCATTCAGCCCCTAATCCGCATGATACCATAGTTTTGCCTTTCAATGTCACACTTCGAATGTCCTTTGGTGTACTCACAATGAATGCCCCATCAAAGAATGCTATACCATGACAATCCGTGTTGCCTGATATCGTTATGCTGGATGAGAGACTCAACTTAGAGGATATTATTTCCACTATTTGTATTCTGCCTTGTTCTCCTGAAAATGAAGCAGCTGCCACTGTGTTGTTGTTTACGATACAAATATCGCGTAGATATCCGCCAATCTTCAACTCATCCAAACAGTTCTCTTCTTCGGAAAACATCTTTATTTTTCCATTTGAATGATCGCTTATTATAATGTGATCATTCGGCATCAACAATACTCCGCGAGGGGAACATTTTTCCGTTCGTGAAGGAAGCCTGATATTGCATGTTCTTATTTTCCTCACACGACATTTTGATAGTATGCCTACATTTGGTATATATTCGACACCATCAGGTTTGATACAAGAGTTTTCCTTCACTAGAATTCTTCCTAACGTTAGAGCGCTTGCCTTGTCAATAGTAGTGTGCGTCCTGTCAATATCGTGCTTGATGCTTACGGACTTCGATGAGTGCGTGATATCGTCAATAAGATCATTACACGCCCTAATCTCTGTCTGACCTCTCAGGAACAGTTGTATCATCTCGAAATTATCGTCCGTTCGAAGTGCCGTCCTTGACGCTTCCTTTGTGTTCTGAATGGCAGCCCTCAGTCGGCTACATTTCTGCTTTGATAAATCAACTTTAGCTTTCTCAGCTTTGCAATTTGAAATCATTTCTTGAGTTATCTCCTCCTGTTTCTTATCGAGATATGTGTTGATTCTCTGTCGGAGATCTGAAATACTGCTTAAGCCAACATCCTGACATCGCTGCAAGGATTCTACCTCTTGGTCAAAAGCATTTAACAACAATTCCATGACGTTGGCTGCTTTTTCGAGAGAATTGTCTATGTCATCAAGCCTGGAGTTATCCTTCTGTTTCTCACAATACTTTTTGATAGTATGCACTTCGTCACAGCGTCGGTGATTTGTGATAATGCATTTGTTGCACCCAATGAACTTATGATCTTCACAATAACAGTCCATCTTCTCCTTGTGTTTGGAACATGTTCTTGACGACGTTCGTTTCCAGGTCACGTCATGATGTGCCTCATTGAGAGTTACAATGTCACATATTTCGTGTAGGATATCATGTACGTTAACTTTACAATGGTCACAAAACAGCATGCCATTCGTTTTACACAACGTTGTAGCCGGTGTTTCCATGTTTTTTGTCTTCTTGCAAGGACCACAATTAAGTGGAGCATCTGACTCCTTTGTTCGGCTCGTAGATTCCTTAACCATACTGTTCGTAGGAAACTGTTGTGCCCACATCTCTTTACTCTCAGAGTGATTGACAGGCGATGTGATCTGTCTACATACAGGGCAGGGAAATGACGTCACGGCGGCCATCTCACCAGACAAGTCAGTGACGATGTATGTACTGAGGCATTCCTCACAAAAGGAATGTAAACATGGGAGAGACTTCGGTTTTTGCATCTGCTCCAAACAAATGGGACATTCAAGAAGAATGTTGTCGTAGTTCACGTGTTTATCTGGTAGGAATCCACCTTCTGCCATTGTTGCATTCGTTTCCTAATCTCTTTGACCTGAAAAGATAAAGACATTAGACACTTTAAGAAATGTTGTTAAAAGTAAATATAACATAAAAATGTATCACACTGACTTTAATTGTGTATCATAAATAGTATTCGTCCTATTGGGTGTTTATATTTTTTTGCTTTTTTTCGATCGTTTGGGAAACTTTCTTAACACAATAGTTTTGCATCGACTTATATTGTTGGAAAGTGACATTCGTGTTTTCTGTTTTAGTTTTATTAGTTCATGTCGATTTATAGAAAAAAGCGAATTGCTGAAATAATAATAGATTAAATTTACTTGAAATTCCCTTGTTGATATTTCCCGAGTCCTATGTCACACAATTGATCACAGTCTTCAATACGCGCTGTATCATCTTTAACCTAGTTTTAATCGTTTTACATATTTTCGCTTAGATCATGTTGTATTTTAAACATGCTGTTAACACAAATATTTTAAGTTTAAACAGTTTAAGGTAATGCGCATGTGTGACAGCGAATGCAGGTAGACGCTCGAACGTCAATCCGATGTAACATTCGTGATTTTACGTCAAAAGAGTAGACGGAGGGAACCAGGAACCACTTCTTGTCTTAGTGCTCTTGTATGCAACTATAAAATTTGGGTTTGTAAGCCTATCTAGAGTTTACAGAAGAAATGTCAATATATCGACACTAATTGAAACCTGTTACATGTAACCAGGATACTGACTTTCTTTAAATTGTAAAAAGTGTTTGGCATTTTTTGAATGTCTATGAGTTGACATGAAATGACTATCAGTCCTAAGACCAGAAATATTTTTAAGTGTTCAAATCAAACCTTTCAGAACATTCCAGATCAATATACTGTAAAAGATATGATGAAATATGCATAAGAATGTGATCAAAAGCACTTTACGCCAATTCAATATTGATTAATGGCAAAAACATCCTAAAATGTTAAAATGTATAAAAAAAAAAAAAAAAAAAAAAAAAAAAAAAAAAAAGGAAAAGACTATCCTGAAAACACTAATTTTATTGCCAGGTCTGATCAAGACTGCATTTCGGAATTAATAATTAGAAATGTACTTATATATAAGTGGCACACTCAGAACGATTTTCCCCTTCTTCATGTTAATAAGAGGCCAAACACCACTCGGGTCCCGACACAATTAATAAGGATAAATAGTTTTTTTTCTGTACAAAATTATCAATAGGATTTATTTTCGAAGTTTTGCCTAAAGAACATAGCTAACATTCTTTGCAATAAATACTTTGTACATCTTTAACCAGTCATGAAGTAATCAATTGACATTTCTCTGGCTATTGTAGCTACCTAAGTATATTACAAGAAAACGTATTAACTTAAATTAGAAATGAAAGGTCAGTAAAATACTGAACATTCACGGTTTGATGTTAAGCGTCTATGTGCATGGCCAATCCGATTATGGACTATTTAATTAATTGATAGGCGGTAAAAAAGTATATGATATAAGCCAATGTAAACTAGAGGAATTTCGTTTGTCTTCAATTAGTATGTACAATATGTCCAATCTTTATTACAGATAATTTCTAATAGATGAGTACACATTGTGTGTATTGATTTAGCGTATTACGACAAGATATATATATATATTAAAGAAGCCCAAGAAGGCAGAAGGCCCGGCGGGAAGTCTTCTATACTTGCTGTTTTATTTTATATTTACCTTCGCAAGAATTTGTTTCTTTATTATCTACTATATAATATTTAAGCATTGAACTGTTACCAGATGCAGTATGCAGTCGATATGAATGCAATTTTTGTGACAGATAAATAGAATGTCGCCCGTTTTCGCGCATTGATAGATTATATGTATTTGAAAGTGATGCGGCGCTGAACGGACTTTATTGTTTCCTCGGAAACGCTTATGTTTTTATCGACTGGAATATTACGTTATTTTCAGAAGCATTTATACTCGAAGTTTTTTAATTAAAGTGGTCCTTTCAGTAGGCGATAACGATTCCAAGGACAGTACGTATAAAACAGATTCCATGTCTAATCGGTCAGATTAGCATCGCTAGCAGACGACGTTTACAGGGGCTCGGTTTCGTGATTTTGAGTAGTGGGTGACATCACTGAAGAACCACAACACTAAAAAAAGGTATTCATACACATTCTAAAACCTTGTCGATACCCTCGACTTTTTCCAGGTTTTATAAATGCTGAATTTTAGTGTTGTGGTTATTCACTGATGTTATGCATAACTCAAAATTTCGAAACCGAGCCCCTGTGTGATGACGTTGACAAACTTGGTAATTTCGTATCTAGAATGGCGCTGACAATATTTTTGTGGTACCTACACATCTTATAATAAATTTATGTTGTCATAATTTGTCAAGTTGTTCTATTTTTTGGGATGACCTACATTGCTAAATGCTAACGAACCCAGAAAGTTATCTGGCTATAGGCCTATTGATATCGGATGTGACTGGCGGCCATGTTTGTATACCTTGTATCAGTTGTATTCCTACACTGGCCGTATCACTGTAAATTGCAGTATACAGTCTGTGATACTGCAATTTGGTTTACTAACGACATATAGGCAAATGCAACACAGAATGTAAATATATATATATATACTTTTATCAATTATTTTGTAACAACAAATTTATGTATTCAGTTATATGTACAGTGTAAATAATAACTCAGCGGAAATAGAGGGAGGATCTCACATGAGTTTCCATTTGATATGAGATTTTTGAAACGAGTTGAGAATGTTTTAATTTTGCGAGGATCTGCCGAGCAAAATTAAAATATTCTTAACGAATTTCATAAATCTCACATCAAATGGAAACTCATGTGAGATTCTGTTTATCACATGACGTAACAAAATGACAAAACAACAATATTTAACTCATTTTGTTTTAATTCCTTCTAATCAATAGCAACGGAATAACGCCTAAAATGAAATAATTCCACAAAATGCGATGAAACAGTTCCCAAATCTGTACAGAATTTAACAGTAGAACCAACTCATTTCATTATTTAAATTGTCAGCTTTTGTTTAACTTTGTAAACTTTTATTTAACAAAACGACCTAAACGAGGTCGAAACGGTAAGATGACTTGTAAACATCGAGGTCGGTAATGCTATTTTTAATTTGATGTTGTAGGAGAAAAAGGACCCCCAACGACTGGTGGTTAGTTATCATGTGATCTAACTCTCATTGGGTAATTTTAGAATTTAAAGATTAACTAACTCGAGTTAGATAAACAGGATAACCAACCACCACGTGTTGGGGAACCTCTATCTACAGCTCATGAAACTCGTTAAAAAAACAGTAAGCATGTTATAGTTAGAATATAACATCATGTACACAGTCGCAACAATATCTTTACAATTACAGTTGCACGGCATCGGTGCCTTAAAAGTCATTTTTCGATGTTCAGTATGCATGCAGCAAGGGCCCTTTTCTTACCCCGAGGACTAAACCATTTATCATCTTACAAATTGATATAATTATAATGAGAGGTAACGATCTCTGCGTAATACAGTTATCGTCTTACTGCTCGAGTTATCTCCCTTCCCTTGGTATTGTTAATACTTCATAAATATCACGGAGTTAAACGATTTGTGAATGAACCGATCAAATTCAAACAAAAGAATGAGTTCACTTAATCATCAGATAATTTTCAAAATATATAATTAAAGGTTGTTAATATTTTAGTTGTCTTCCTGCGCACCTGTGTTAATTTTAACCACATGAAAAAAAAGCAAGGTAAAACACGATATCCAAGAGGGATCTTGGAACCCACCATCGTACCATCTTCATTAGTTCTATGTCAGTTTGATAATTTCTCTTCTTTTCTCTGATCTGTTTGATCAGTTTGCCTGTCTGCCATCTTAATCAGTATTTTGATCAACCTCAAAAGTTAACATATACAGCTAACAACCTAGGGGAACCTACATATCAAATTTGAGAAAGGTTCCTCCCGTACATTCTGAGAAATAGCGATTACAAACTTAAACTGTAACAAGATGGCCGCCTGTCCACATATTGGTTTTCAGATCAGTCCAAAAATGTGATAAGCATAACTAGGAACCATGGGGAACCTTCATGTGAAATTTGAGAAAGACACCTCCTGTACATTCTGAGAAATAATGCTAAAAACTTTAACTCTCAAATTAAAGATGGTTGGCTGTTGGCTATCTTGGTTTTTGTGATCAGTCCCAAAACACGATTTAATGTTAAAGTTAGAGTTAAAAGTTAAAGTTAAAGTTAGAGTTGAAAGGTGAAGTTAAAGTTAAAGTTAGAGATAGGATAACTCATCCGGACTTTGAACATGATATTTATAGTTGAATATCTTATAACTATATCTTATAGTCAAAGTGTACACTATAAACGGTCCGCAGCGGGGACATCATGATCAGCAAATAACGTATATATATATATATTTATAAACTAAATTAAAATAACAGTGTATATGGTCATAAAGGGTTCGTACATGTATTAATTGAGAAAAATATATAGAGCCCGAATTAAGAATAGTTCTATGCCGTATAGTCTATAACTATAGTTGTTAGCGAATACGATCCTGAAAAGGGGGCATTCCAATACAGGACATAGAGCTCCTCTACACTGGACTAAAACATTAAACAATTGTATAATATACAGTTAATATACACTTTATTTATTTTACAACAATTATGTAACAAGTTATTTCAACTTAAAGTAATCACTCTTGTTGGGGTCTTAGTGTGGGAGGAAACCGGAGTACCCGGAGAAAATCCACGTGATCGGGCAGGTGACCCCAACTTTTTCACGTCCGATCGGGGAATCGAACCCCGGCCGCCTTGGTGAAAGCACCACCCGACCATCCGTATAACAGCAAATACGTTGTGTCAATTTTCATCAAGATTTTCGTAGTTTGTGATGATATGATCCAAAACATGCGGTGTATCTGTTCCTCTCCACCTTGTTGGTATACCTTGTTGCTATAGATATTTGTCTTGTAAGTTTTGTACAAATTGAGAGTCCTGTGTTTTCACTGTCTCCTCTGGTCTTCAATAAATCCCAGTTTATATCTGGGAAATTGAAACCCCCATGAGAACTGAACTATTATATCATTTGCTGACCGTTTCATCAAATAACTGCCGAAGTCGGTCGCTGTTTTCTGTACATCCGCTGTCAGATCTGTCGATAAGCCCTACTAAAGTTTGTTTTGTTCTTGCAGCGATCTTTCTACAAATATATTTTCTTGAAACACTGTTTCCATCTTAACTTCTGATGCTTTCAATAGCTTGTGTGTATATAGCAACATACCCCGCCCTACATTTTACTGACAATTTTTTCAAATACATCGTAGTTTAAATTTCTTTTTATATTGAATTCCGTTTCTTTCATATTTAGTGCTCTGTTTTTACATTTAACCTCTGTTATACCTATACTGATTTCCTGTTAAATATCGTTTGGTCTGTTTTTGTGTAGAAACAAAACATTTTCTCTATTTTTATTAGTCTTTTCGGCAACGAGGTATTATTATGCAAGTTCTTCACGGCTTTTGTTGCTCTTTCGCGATCTTTCTCGCTCAAGGTGGTCCCTGACCTTTGAAGATGTATTTTCCCGACAAAGATTTCGTTTTCAGTGCTGCTTGTTCCCAGATATGCATACCTAGGGACCGTGGGGAACCTTCATGTGAAATTATAGAAAGATCCCTCCAGTACTTTCTGATAAATAGCGCTACCAAACTTTAACTCTCAAATTCAAGATGGCTGACTGTCGGCCATTTTTGTTTTGTGATCAGTCCCAAAAAATGGTATGCATAACTACGGACCATGGTGGATCTTCATGTGAAATTTGGGAAATATTCCTCCAGTACTTTCTGATAAATAGTGATAACAAGAATTGTTTCAGGACGGGCGGAATGACGGACGGACGGACCACAGACCATGGACCACGGACGCAGGGTGATTTGAAGAGCCCACCAATCTGATGGTGGGCTAAAAAACCAGTGGGGACCCCGTATCTCTAATGAAAATACTATATATACAACAGCAACAACAATATACAACAATAATTGTGTTTTATATACAATTGGTTATCATCGCTGTAAAGTTATACTACATGTATGTTTTATTTCGTTCTCCTCCCCTTATTGTGTAAAGTATGTAATTTAAGTAATAAATATAATAAGTTTATAATGCCCAACGACTGAAAACAAAGGTTAAATGGTGATAAGAAAAGCCCTCGTTATTTAGACAGGGGTGTAGTAGCGAAGAGTTCGCGGAATCGCTCGGTTAAACATTTGCACTTTCGCTTTCAACAGGTTGTGTATACAAACACTATACATATCTACATGTATCAGGTTTATATCATATATTGCAGCTTTACTTATACGTTACTATTGCCGAGCTGGTCAGGAAGTATAACAAGAATACGGATCATAGGGACATGCTATATACAATGGAAGATGAGGGCGTCACAGTTTATATGTTATCCGTCCCTGGTAAGCATTATCTGACAGCACAGTTTGAAAGAAGAATCAAGACTTACCAAGGTTATGTGAACAGAGTATCTCACAGGCTGCGGTGCTCGTGGATGCAGTTGAGGGGAGTACTAGTGACGTCAGACAGCTGCTCTGTCTCGCACTGAGACCGGGGCTGAACGGACTGCACGAGTGGCGTCAGACAGCTGCGCTGTCTCTCACTGGGACCGGGGCTGAGCAGGACCGGAGCTGGTGAGGACCGTCAAGATAGGATAACTCGTCCGGACTTCGAACATGATATTTATAGTTGAATATCTTATAACTATATTTTATAGTCAAAGTGTACACTATAAACGGTCCGCAGCGGGGACATCATGATCAGTAAATCACGTATATATATATATATTTATAATAAACAGTGTATGAGCATGTACCGATAAAAACAAAAAACGATCGAGTGTTTTTTTTTTTAAATATATTTATTTTTGTATATACATCTTACTACATCATGTTTGATCATTATATATTATCTTACTACTTCATGTATCATTACATGTATCATCACACTACCTAATGTATAATCTCACTACATCATGTATCATTACACTACATCATGTATCATCTTGTTACATCATGTATCATTACACTACATCATGTATCATCTTGTTACATCATGTATCATTACACTACATCATGTACCATCTTGTTACATCATGTATCATTACACTACATCGTGTACCATCTTGTTACATTATGTTTCATTTTGTTACATCATGTATCAACACATTACATCATGTATCATCTGACTACATCATTAATCTTCATACTAAATCATGTATCATCACACTACCTAACCATCAAACTGCATTGTACATAATGTATAATCTCACTACATCATGTATTATTACACTGCATCATGTATTATTACACTGCATCATGTATTATTACACTACATCATGTATCATTACACTGCATCATGTATCATCTTGTTACATCATGTATCATCTTGTTACATCATGTATCATCTTGTTACATCATGTATCATTACACTACATCACGTATCATCTTGTTACATCATGTATCATCTTGTTACATCATGTATCATCTTGTTACATCATGTATCACCTTGTTACATCATGTATCATCGTGTTACATCATGTATCATCACACTACATCATGTATCATCTTGTTACATCATGTATCATCACAATACATCATGTATCATGACACTACTTCGTGTATCATTACACTTTATCATGTATCATTACAATGCATCATGTATCATACTATATCATGTAACATCACAATTCATCATGTATCATCCCACTACTTCGTGTATCATTACACCTCATCATGTATCATTACAATGCGTCATGTATCACACTATATCATGTAACGTCACACTACATCATGTATCATTACACTTCATCATGTCTCATTACAATGCATCATGTATCGCACTATATCATGTAACATCACAATTCATCATGTATCATCCCACTACTTCGTGTATCATTACACTTCATCATGTCTCATTACAATGCATCATGTATCATACTATATCATGTAACATCACAATACATCATGTATCATCACACTACGTCGTGTAACATCACAATACATCATTTATCATCACACTACTTCGTGGATCATTACACTTCATCATGTACCCTTACAATGCATCATGTATCGCACTATATCATGTAACATCACGCTACATCATGTATCATCTTGTTACTTCATGTATCATCTTGTTACATAATGTATCATCTTGTTACATCATTTATCATCTTGTTACATCATGTATTATCTTGTTACATCATGTATCACCACACTACATCATGTATCATCCCACTACATCATGTATCATCACACTTCATCATGTATCCTCTTGTTACATCATGTATCATCACACTCCATCATGTATTATACCACATCATGTATCATCACACTACATTATTTATCATCTCCCTATATCATGTATCATCACACTACACCATGTATCATCTTGTTACATCACGTATCAAATTGTTACATCATGTATCATCGTGTTACATCATGTATCATCTTTTTACATCATGTATTATCACAGTACAACATGTATCATTACACTACATCATGTATCATCACACTTCATCATGTATCATTACAATACACCATGTATCATCACACTACATCCTGTATCATCTGACTACATCATTAATCTTCATACTAAATCTTGTATCATTACACTACATCATGTATCATTTCACTTCATCATGTATCATCTCACTACATCATGTATCATAACACTACATTATTTATCATCTCCCTATATCATGTATCATCACACTACATTATTTATCATCTCCCTATATCATGTATCATCACACTACATCGCATCATGTATCATCTTGTTACACCATGTATCATCACGCTACATCATGTATCATCACACTCCATCATGTATCATCACACTACATCGCGAATCATTACACTTCATCATGTACCCTTACAATGCATCATGTATCGCACTATATCATGTAACATCACAATACATCATGTATCACACTAGTTACATCATGTATCATCACACTACGTCGTGTAACATCACAATACATCATTTATCATCACACTACTTCGTGGATCATTACACTTCATCATGTACCCTTACAATGCATCATGTATCGCACTATATCATGTAACATCACGCTACATCATGTATCATCACATTACATTATGTATCATCTCCCTACATCATGTATCATCATACTCCATCATGTATCATCACACTACACCATGTATCATCACACTTCATCATGTATCATTACAATACACCATGTATCATCACACTTCATCATGTATCATTACAATGCATCATGTACCACACTATATCATGTAACATCACAATACAACATGTATCATCACACTACTTCGTGTATCATTACACTTTATCATGTATCATTACAATGCATCATGTATCACACTATATCATGTAACATCACAATACATCATGTATCATCACACTACTTCGTGTATCATTACACTTCATCATGTATCATTACAATGCATCATGTATCACACTATATCATGTAACATCACACTACATCATGTATCATCACACTACATCGTGTGACATCACACTACATCATGTATCATCGCAATACATCATGTATCATACTACATCATGTATCATCACACTACATCATGTATCATTACACTTCATCATGTATCATTACAATGCATCATGTATCACACTATATCATGTAACATCACACTACATCACGTATCATCACACTACATCTTGTATCATCACACTACATCATATATCATCTCACTACATCATGTATCATCACATTACATTATGTATCATCTCCCTACATCATGTATCATCACACTTCATCATGTATCACTACAATACATCATGTATCACACTATATCATGTATCATTACATTACATCATGTATCATCACACTACATCATGTATCATTACAATACATCATGTATCATCACACTCCATCATGTATTATACCACATCATGTATCATCACACTACGTCGTTNACTTGCCGTTTGGAAGCGATTTCTCAAATGGACAAGCTGAATTTGGTTGTCCTGTTGACGTGACGTCACACGTGGACGTCCCGCACGAGGTCGATCGCCGACGAGGCCAAACTGTTGATGTCTGTAATGTCAGTAATTAACCTGTAGTAATCTGCATATATCGCCTGGCGTCATGAACCGATAAAAACAAGAAGCTATCGAGTGTTTTTTAGGTGTTTTTTTTAATATATTTATTTTCATATAAACATCATACTACATCATGTTTTATCACACTACATTATGTATTATCTTACTAATTCATGAACCATCACACTACATAATGTATCATCTTGTTACATCATGTATCATCTCACTATATCATGTATCATCACGACATCATGTATCATTACACTACATCATCTATTGTCACACTACATCATGTACCATCACACTACATCATGTACCATCACACTACATCATGTATCATTACACTACATCTTATATTATCACACTACATTATTTATCATCTCACTACATCATGTATCATCACACTACATTATTTATCATTACAATACATCATTATCATCACACTACATCATGTAATATCACACTACATCATGTATCATCACACTACATCATGTATCATCACACTACATTATTTATCATTACATTACATCATGTATTATCACACTACATCATGTAATATCACACTACATCATGTATCATCACACTTCATCATGTATCATCACTCTAAATCATGTAATATCACACTACATTATGTATCATTACATTACATCATGTATTATCAAACTACATCATGTATAATAACACTACATCATGTAATATCTCACTACATCATGTATCATTCCATTACATCATGTATCATCTCATTACATTATGTATCATCACACTACATTATTTATCATCACACTACATAATGTATCATTATATTATATCATGTATCATTATCTTATATCATGTATCATTACACTATATCACATATCATCACACTACATCATGCATCACCACACTACATAATGTATCATTACACTACATCATGTATCATTACACTAAATCATGTATCATCACACTGCATAATGTATCATCAAGCAAAATAATGTATCACACACTACATCATGTATCCTCACACTACATCATGTATCATCACACAAAATAATGTTTTATTACACTATATCATGTATCACACACAAAAATGTATCATCACACTACATCATGTATCAACACACTACATAATGTATCATCACACTACATAATGTATCATCACACTACATTATGTATCATCACACTCAATCACGTATCATTTCAATACGTCATGTATCATACTACGTCAGGTATCATCACAACGTCATGTATCATCACACTATATCATGTATTATCACACTACATTATGTATCATATCACTAGGTCATGTATCACACTTCGTCATGTATTATCACAACGTCATATATCATCACACTACATAATGATCATCACACTACATAATGTATCATCACACTCAATCACATATCATATCACTAGGTCATGTATCATCCCAACGTCATGTATCATCACAACGTCATGTATCATCACCCTACATAATGTGTTATCATACTACATTATGTATTATCACACTCCATCACGTATCATTTCACAACGTCATGTATCATCACACTACAGAATGTATCATCAAATTACATAATGTATCATCACACTACATAATGTTTCATCACACAAAATAATGTATCATCACACTACATCATGTATCATCACACTATATAATGTATCATCAC